AAAAAAAAAAAAAGCTGAACATAAAGGATCCTGCAACAGTTCAAAACAATCCAATAGCAAGAAATGAAGACTTATAAATTTTCTCCATTAGGATGGCCAGCCAACATTCCACAGCACATGAAAGCCAACATCAAGCGAACAGATATTAAGCACAAGTTTTCAAAAGACAAGATGAAGGTCAAACAAAACCAATTTGAAGTCCTTGATGGGGCACATCTTCCACGCATTTACCACGTGCCAACTAAATTAGCAAGAACATGCTCAAACATTAACAATAAAAAAGTATATAAATACAATTTCTAACAACATGCTTCATTTCAGCTGCCTAGACTTTAAAAAAATATCAATTTCCAAACAATGCAAAGATCCGAATCAGACACTGAGAACCACGAGAAAAGAAAAATCTAAACTGACAGAACTTGTAAACTCTAATGAATCTCTCCAACCTACAAACACAAACAGATCCCTATAAATCCCACAATAAGAACTCAAACTCACAACCAAAAAAAATTATAATATAAAGTCAACATCCAAACTATCGCATAAATGCCTGCTAATCCTACGGCATCTTTTCAGTTAAATGAAATCCATTCAATTTGAAATCCTCTCTAACTAACATATTTAAATAAACCAGTCAAAAGAAAACCTCACAAATCCATGAAATGAAAGCACAAATGACAAATAAACCAGTGGCAGAGTTTGAAAAGCCAGAAACGTATCTTCTGCAACCTACAATGACGGATGCACATATATAGCTATCAATCACAAACGCAAGAAAAATGTCTGCATAAAATCACTGTCCCAACTAGCAAAGACATTCACAATCTTTCAAAACTAGAACGTGATCACCAGAATCTTTCCAAACCTAATAGACTACCACGCAAACCTGCACAAGATTCTCCAAAATCAAGTAGTTTTGAGAGGTATGAAAAACCAGGTAGCAAAATCTTCTTGAAATCAGAGTGTAGACTTTTGTCTTACGTGCTGATGGCAGAATTTCCAAGATTGCTGCTGTCGACATCAACCTGCAAACCATGTGTCAAGTCAACAAACAAGAGAAATTGATAAACAGAAAAAGGTTGATAGTGAAGTTCCTGCAAAGAATGAAAAAGAACATGAGAAGAAAATGAAGACTTAAAAATTTTCCCCATCATAGATTGGCCAGCCAAGAACCACTGCACAAGCAAGATGGAGGTCCAACAAAAATCCAACCGCTGCAAGATCCTTTATCCTTGTCCTTTTAATTAACCCAAACAGCATCTGAATAAAAAAAAGGTCAAAGGTCATATCATGCTCAGTACCAATACAAGATCCTCCAAAATCAAGTATTTTTGAGATTTATGAACAGGAAGCAAATCTCCTCAAAAGTTGAGACAGAAATCCAAACCAATGGAAGTCTTCAAAACCAAGAGATCCAATCAATACCTCCTAGACCACCAATCTAAAATCACCAACGCCAAATTTTAAATTGAAACAATCTCAGTCTAAAATGAAGATACGTGGAGACATAAAAGTGCAAGGGTAAGCTTTTACAAGACCCCTTACCACCCACAGCTTCCAAATCTTTCATCCTCTGTCATTTCTTCCAAATCTTTCATCCTTCTCATTTCTTCTTCGGGCCATGGCCATATATCATCTCCTCATCTCTTCTTTCTAACTGCATTCACAAAAAAATACTAATAACCTTTTATCTCCTGACGTATTACTAATTAACTTCAGAAGACAAAAATTATTCACAATGTGGAAAGAGATGCATTCCTATTAATAGTGGCGATCACGGCCATGAGGAAGTTCAAGGATTAGGAAAGCCGGCAACAACACTGCAGGCAGAAAGCGTAAATTGAAATATCTTCCAAAGTTCCAAAATAAAACAAGAAATATAGAACTCGTAACAAAGGAAGGGAACCCAAAAGAACAGTTGGTCCATCTGCACAACATAATTAGAGCCAATACTCATTATGTTCAAAATTGAACTGTACCAAAACCCGAGAAGAATAAATATCAAAACAGATCGATTTAATAGGATTCCAAAAACTCCAAAACTAAAGATTTTTAAGTGATATGATAAGAACCAGGAAGCAAATCTCCTTAAGGCAGAATTCCAAAATTGAAAATCCAAGAGGCCCAGATCAAACAAACGATTAATAGTTATTGGAAGCAAAAAAATCCAAGACACCCTGATCAAACAAACTATAAAAAGATAATGGAAGCAAAAAAATCCAAGAGGTTCTAAAGTTCATAATCCAATACAATGAAACAATTTAAATATGCATTGGTTAACAGAACTTAAAAAGGTAGAAAATATCTACAGCTGCCTACAATCACAAAATATCACTATAAAATACCAAGCACACAAACACGAGACAAATGTCTGCATATAAGATTATGACCCCAAGTCGCAACTGACGTCCGTAATCTCTCAACACTTGCAAGTGACCACTAGAATCTTTCAAACTCTGTACAGAAACCACAAAAAACATACTTGTCTCAAGTTTTAAGCAGACGATAGGTCAATGTAAGACAGACAAATAACTCCCTCCAAAGCTCCGTCCACACAGATATGAGATATCAGTCAGAATCCTAAATTGCTAATAGTTCCTAAGAGCAGCCTCTGTCCCAATAATCAAGAACAACAAGGGCAAAAACAAATCAAGAGCAACATCCTGCATGAAAATCTTAAAATAAGAAATTTCAAAACTTAAAAAACAAGAAATGAAAAATTGTAATCAAAACAATTAAAAAAACATAAAACAAGAACAAGAAAAACTTATCAGGTGACTTATAACCCATCTCTGCACATAAAGGGGATGACTTAACCCAACTCTGCACATAGAGAGTAACAAAATCTTGTCATTATAATTTCTGCATTATGAAATCCCAAAAAGAAAGGAACACAGCAAAATGAAGAATCATATATTAATATGAAAAACAGATCTGATCAAAGGCCTGAAAAAATTTACAAACTACCATTGCAAGGTCAAATAATAACATGGCATACTTCCCACAAAACAATTGCCATTCAAAATTCCAAGACTGTTGACCAGAAATACAGCATCCAGGATTCACACCAAATCCATTTTATATTCCTACTTTAAATAAAAAAAATTCTAATCCAACTCCAAAAGTGCAAAACTGGCTGCCAAGGAACAAAGAATACTGAAAAAAGAAACACAAACAACAATAAAAATTGCCTTTGGTAAAACCCTATTCCAACTGCTGCAAGATCATTTATCCTTTATCCTTGTCCTTTTAGCTCTGAAGATTGATAACCCCAAACAGCATCTGAATAATAAAAGAGTCAAAAAGTCATATCATTCTCAGTACCAATACATGATCCACCCAAACCAAGTATTTTAGAGAGATGTGAAGAACCAGGAAGCAAATCTCCTTGAAAGTTGAGACAGAAATCCAAAATGGAAAATCCAATGAAAGTCTTTAAAAACCAAGAGATCTAAAAAAAATGATGGAAAAAATTTTAGAAAAATATTATATAATCTGAGTGTAGACTTATGACTTATGTCCTAAAGGTAGAATTTCCAACATAGCTGCTGTCAACGACAACATCTGAAGACCATGTGTTAAGCCCAAAAACAAGAGAAAGAAACGATGAAATGAAAAAAAAAAAGTTACAAAGAACAAAGTCTTCTACTTTTTGAGGGAAAAAAGTGAAAGAAGAAAAAACATTGATAGTGAAGATACCGCAAAAAATGAAAAAAGAACACAAGATAAGAAAATGCTGAATTAAAATTTTCTGCATTGAGAATGGCTACCCAAGAACCACTGCACATAAAAGCCATTATCAAGCAAACTGATATTAGGAGAAGATTCAGAAAAAGAAGATGAAGCGCAAACAAAAATTTCACCTGTTTGGAGTCCTTAACCAATGGCCACATCTTCCACACATTTATCTTCTGCAATACAATTAAAATATAACCTAAATAACGAAAAAAAATTGCAAGTAAAATTCCTAACAAGCTTCATGTCTGCTGCCTATACTTTTATAAACTATCTACCTTCAAAGCAATAATGCAAATCAGATTTTAAAACCAAGCAAAAGCAAAATCCTTCATCCTTACAATTTTGCACAATACAATAAAAATATAACCAAAAGAAAGAAAGAAAATTGCAAGTAAAATTTCTAACAAGCTTCACATCTGCTGCCTATAAGCAAAAACGCAAATCAGATTTTAAAACCAAGCAAAAGCAAAATCCTTCATCCTTACAATTTTGCAATAAAAGGGTCATAAAGCAAAATCCACAAACAGCGTCTGAAAATAAAAGGGTCATAAAGTTGTATCACGCTCAGTACCAAAACAGGATCCTCCAAAACTAAGAATATCAGGGAGATATGAAAATCCAAGGAAATCCAATGGACGTCTTAGAAACCAAGAGTCCTAAAAAAAGGTGCAAACAATTAAGAGGGAAAAAAAAAACTGTGCAAAGAGGTGAAAGTTATAATTACACAGAACACAGGAATCCACAGCAGAAATGATGGCTTAGTAAAAATATCTCCATTGGTAAAGCCCAACCAACATGTAGTAAAAATTACAAATTAAAACCAAACTTCACAAATCCAAGAAATGAAAGCACAACTGAAATATATGTTAGTGCAGAGCTTTAAAAACCAGAGAAATATCTGCTACCTACAATCACAAAAGTATTCGTACATATCATGAACACAAGAGAAACATCTGAATAAGATTACTCTCCCAACCAGCAAGGTTGCCCACAACCTTTTGAGACAAGCGACCACCAGAATCTTTCCAAACCTAAATCTACAGGACAAACCTGTACTTATCTTGAGTTATATTAAGCAGATTTTGGGTAAATGTAAGACATAAACAATTAATTGGCCTTGCCTCCTCATCTACTTACCCAATCCCTCCATCCGAAGCTCCATCCAGGAAAGAGATAACAAAGCTATATATGATCTCATTCTCCCTACGTAATGGTCGTAATTTCTAACAACAGCCCGCCTCAGAATCAGGAATATGTAAGCATAGAAAGCAATCAATAGCAACATACTGCACAAAAACCTAAAATTAAGAACTTCCAAAACAAAGAATAAAAAAGGGTGTATGAAAAACATTTGACAACGCAGTGCACGAAAAACATTTGACGAAGCACCCTACTCCAACTGCAGGAAGATCCTTCATCCTTGCCCTTCCTGCTTTTAATTTTGAAAACTGATAACACATCAGCATCTAAAACAATAAAAGGGTCAAAAAGTCATATAATGCTCAGTGACATTAACTACACGGGATGCTAAAAGCTCCAAACTAAAAATGTTGAAGAGATGCGATAAGAACCAGGAAGCCGATCTCCTTGAGAATTGAGGCAGGATTCCAAAATTGAAAATCCAACTGAACCTGATCAAACAAAACTGTTAAAAGACACTCAAATCAATAAAAACCAAGAAATCCTAATCAAGGGTGCGAAAATATTTATAAAAAAGTTGCAAGTAACCATTGTGTATTTGTGTTATCTGCTTAAGGTAGAATTTCCAAAATTGCTGTTGTCAAAAACTGCCTATGAAAATCAGGAGTCAAGATTTGCCAAGAGAAAAAATGGTCAACTGAAAAACAAAGCACACAAAGGGCAAACAGCTTTAATTTTTATATTTTTTTTAAAACAAGAAGATCAAAGTAAAAGATCTTGCAACAATGAACAAGAAATTAGTAGCAAGAATGAAGACTTATCATTTTTCCCCATTACAATAGTCCAGCCAACCACTGCACATGAAAGCCTTCATCAAGCAAACTGATAAAAGCGATGAACAATTTTCCACCGCTGATAAAAAGCTGTTCAGTAGCAAATGTCCAGATACTAAAACCCAAAATTTGAACGCGCAAAAACTTGAAATCTGAAAATGTCTTTCCCACCTTAAAAAACACAAACACATAAAGAAGATCACTGAGCAAGGTTACCATTGCTGTAAAACATAGGATTTATGAGTTATCAGGTGAAGACATAACATTGACTATGATCATTAATCGTCTATGCACCTGCAAAAATGCATTAAGCAAGGTGATCACTGCCTGTAAAACATCAAGATAAATTCCATTGATGAATTATACCATCAATTGTCTCTGCGTTCACTTACCCCTTTTTCTCTTCAGACTCCATTGATCCAATAGATAGAATCTTTCACACTCCCAACATAATGTGACTAACCCGCAGAAATTGCAGAAAAATTCCTACCAAAATCCACAAAAAGTACTAATAATCTTTCATCTCCTGACATATTACTAATTAACTTCAAAAGAAAGAATTATTCACAACGTGGAAGGAGAAACATCCCCAGTGATAGTGGCGATCACGGCCGTGAGGAAATTTTCAGGGATCAGCACTTTAGAAAAGGAAAGCCAGCAACATCACTGCAGTCAGAAACCATATATTGAAATATCCTAGAAAGTTCCAAAACAAAACAAGAAATATAGAACTCGTAAAAGAGGAAGGGAACCCAAAAGAACCATCTGTCCATCCGCACAAATTAATTAACCCAGAAGAGACCCCATACTCACGATGTTCAACATTGAACGGTACCGAAACTTCTGTGAAAACTCTGAGAAGAATAAATACCAAAACAGACCGATTTAATCAAAATAGAGTTCGGCGATCACCGCCATAAGGAAGTTCAAGGAGAAAAACCGGGAGAGAAAAGGAGGCAAACCAACGCGCACTCCCCCATCCCGCAACGGGTATAAACGGGAGCTGAGGAGGATATATTTATAGAATAAGAGTGGTCAGAATAGAGGGCTCGGATTAAGCGGTGGAACATCTATGAACGGTCCGGATCATTGGTCAGGTACAGCTGGAATTCGCTGACACGTTTGACCAATGCTTTAAAAATTTTAGCCGTTATATGTCGGTTATAAAAGAGGCCTTACCATTATGTGACCAAGCCCAAAAATTACTTCGGCCTCAGGCTTCAAACTAGCAGACTGCTGATCCAATAAGAAAAAAGCACAATATATTAAGCATTGGTACTATAAATGAATAATATAAACACAAAAAAATGGATGTAACTTCTGTAACATTGTTGCTTTTCTAAATGAATAATCTCTAAATATATAATTTTATTTTGTAACACTCATTCTTTTTTTTTGTTTCACTTTTCTTTATTTTATCGTCACCTTCTAAATTTGATTATGAATTATCAAATTGTCAGCAATTTTTTTCTTTCTTTATTTCCCTTTATCTTTTTTGCCCCTTGTCCTTTTTTTTTTCTCTTCATTAGATTTTCCATTGAATTAGTAACCTTATAAATACTTTGTCAATAATCTTTTATAAGATTTCACTAAATTAAAATTATTTTAATCAAATTATGTAATTAGTATATGTATCATTAGATTGGCATTGTTAATTTTAAAAAATACAATAATTTAATTTTCATAATTATTGTACAAAAATTAAATTTATCATTTTGGCGACATTAAGAATTGATTGCATGAGTTGATCAAATATTTTCTTAGTGCCATTTATTTAATTTTAACAACTTGAAATTTCTAAAATATTAGATACTAAGTTAATCATATTACATACTTACTTAACATTTTTAGCATTATTTGGCTTGTCATTTTGTAAAATTGTTTAGCAGTTTTAGTAATTTTGATCTCTCAAATCAAACCCCCAAAATGAATAATTATTTTTCATAAAACTCATTTATTTGTATTTAGTAACCTTACAAATGCTTTCACTTTTACATTAAATTACAATGCTATTCCAAAAAAAAAAAAAACCTTACAAATACTTTCTCAATAACTTTCTATCGAATTTTCACAATTTACATATTTCTCTAAAACTTTTTATATAATTTCAGTAACCTTTAAATAACAGAGATTAAGTTTCTAAATTTATATATACGTATATAACTTTTTTAGTAATTTTGGTCTCATGAGTGAATAATCTCTAAATGTACAATTATTGTTTTTCCTAGCACTCGTCTTTAATTTTCTTGTCCCACTTTTTTCATTTTATTTTTATATATTTTTCTGTTTTTTATTTGTCATTTTTTCTTTTTTTTTTCATTTTCATTAAATTTGTCATTAAATTAGTAACTTTACAAATATAATTTCAATAATCTTTCATGAACTTCAGTAACCTGCAAATATTTTAACAATACTCGTCAAGGTACTTTTATCAACCTGAAGTTATTAAAATATTATGTATTAAATTACTCAAACTCATTTATTTATTTAGCATTATTAATGGAAAAAATAATTTATTTTGAGATTATTGATTAAAAAGTAATTATTTTTTTCATTTATATTTTATTTCCCCATAACCTCTAAATTTGATTATGAATTATCAAAAGTTAATCAAATTTTCCTCATTCCATTTTTTTTCTTTTATTATTCTCTTTTCCTTTTGCTAAATGAAGCCCCGCAACTGCCAAAACAGAGACACGAAGCATCCTATCCATTCTTTGTATGCAAATTGTCAAAACATATCGAAATAGACTCGAAGCATATTGTTTGGTGGCAAGCAATTTGGTTCTCATCTGGGTTTCTAGAATTATAACCTACGAACCAAAATCAAAGATAAGTGTAAAATGGACATTGCCATCAAGGAACTTATTCTGTAAGAGGATATGACGAAAGAGGTGATTAAACTTCTTGATGAAATTTGGCCTGTCTAAGAAAGTAGATTCAAAAGGTGATGTAACAAATTGCAAGAACCTCACTCGCCATGCCTACATATACTTGCCATTGCAATGGTAATTTTCACCAGGCAACCTCAAAGCAAGAGCCTGAGTGAACACTCTTCTCTTTCCCTATTAAGTTGATATGGCCACAGAACAATGCGAGCGCCCTACTGAGAAAGCCTTCCACGAAGTGAGCCATGAACCCCTGAGCACTGGCCAGGCCAAAGTTCACAAGGAAATGGTCGCAGCTGAGACTAAGAGTGTCGGTAAAACGCAAGCTGTGTCCAAGACCCAGACCCAGGGCGTCCACGTTCAGCAACATGCAGCTCAAGCCACGGCCATGACTTGCCATGGAAAGAAGGAAAAGAAAATAAAAGAAAAGAAGGAGAAGAAAGAAATGAAAGAAAAGAAGGAAAAAAAGTCTGAGCATAAGAAGAAGCCCGATAAGGAGAAGAGTAAGCACAAGAAGAGCAAGGACAGCAGCAGCGACAGCGACTAAAGGGAAAGACCTGCTGCAAAAATAAGGCAAGAAGTGTATACACATAATCCCTTCAAAAACTATCTCTGCTATATATTATCTTTATCATCAGTTATTATGATCTAATTCACTTCTTTGGTTTCTGCAGACTAGGATTGAGGAGCACAGAGAGACGCCTGGCTGGCAATATAATGCTTACTACCTTAAATAAAAAAAAAATAAACGACCAATGGCTGTGGGCATATGCTGATTATCTGTAGTCTCACAACAGTCAAACATGGTGTCCATGTAAGACTGAATATTATCATGTACTAATGAAAAAACCAAAAAAAAAAGAAAGAAGAAGGATCCTAGGGTCCATCTTATTTATAATTGCAGAAACTTGTGCAGCCTTTTTTCCCCAGAAAACTATGCTACTGCTAATATTTAAGCAAGCTGATTCAATACGGTTCTGCGATATTGTCTGCCAGTAGATTGATATTTCAAGTGACTCAAATTGAAATCAAAATAAGTAAAATTTGCAGGACCACAGACGACCACATATATACATATTGCATTTAAGAACTAATAAGCAGCAGAGCTGTAAGGCAGTGCTCAGCTTGTTTAACTTGACTTTGATCTATCCATTATACACCTTAGCTTCTTTATGGTCATATTATGAAGAGAATCACAGCTTCATTTATGCTGTTAAGACATTTGGGTGCCAGAATGTCAATGCAGTTCAAGAAATAGTATTTCCATATAAAAAAATGTAGAATTTATTCTGTAGGTGACAGGATAAAAAGGCGGCTACATTATTGTTTATCCATTATATGAAAGCAGATTCAAAGAGTAATATTGAAAGTGAAGTGAAGGAATCCGACTTACTCCATTCCTATTCGAGATTCCTTCTCCAGACTCATTTTACTGGCAATCCAGATATCCAAGTTAGACATTTGAAGAACAATTCATTTCCATACAAGAAGCCACGTCTTGACTACCATTTGTAGCAGATTAGTTTAAGACACATAACACAACTTCACTACCATTTACAAGAGATATGAACAGTCAACTACACAGCCTGATGCAACAAAACTTTGCTACAACAGTAAGGCCAAGGGAAAAAGGGGATATTTGAACCCTGGGCCTTAACCAGTTAACCCTCCGTTGGGACTGCTAGGTCAAGCCTCTAGGCTTTAAAACAAAACTTACACAAAAATGAGGCACGCTTGTCTGCAGCAGAAGGAATCACCCTCCTGTGAGAGAGCTGGAAACAAATGATGCAATGGCCTGAACAGCTGCATCTTCAGCTTCATCTTGGGTTGATCCCTTAGTCTGCAGGTGCTTTTTTGAGATCTTAAATGAGTGATCACCACCATCAATCACATGCAACTCGCTCATTGCCTTCATTTTCTTGCGAACAGCTTCCATTTTTTCCAAAGAACAGAAACCATCTTTGCTACCCTACACACAAGTTTAAAATAAAAATAAATGATCGTATCATAAGAATAACAGAAAACTTCAAAGAAATTCTATATAAATTTGGGTTAAAAATCTCACGTTGCTGATAAATATAATATCATACTAGTTGAAAAGTAATGTCTTCTAGGTCCATCAGCATACAGCAAAACAAAGAGAACTAAATTTATAAATTTTATCAGCAAGTATAGCAAAATAAGAAAAATAAGGCCTAAAGTTTCTAATATAATGCCCAATTCCTTCAATATTACACAACCAAGGCATGAAAACTATGAAGACAGCCACATGCATTTATAAAAATGAACTATGTAATAAGTTGAAAAGAGTACCTGGACAAACATCACAGGAACTGTAAGTTGCAACAAGGTTTCATCTCTCACTGCTCCATTCATGCCCTGATATTTAAGCAAGAAAATATAGTATAACAAGGCACATTTCTGTTTATAAGTTACATCACAGAGGACAAACTACCCCTCTTCAGGGGAAGAAGTCTTTCTTGATTCCTATCCCACCCTATCCTCCATTCAGAAAGTTACCTTTATTCATTATTTATTTATTTATTGCTCCCTGCTTCCTGCTGTTCTGAGAAGAAGAAGCAGTAGAAGAAAAAGTTTGCACAGTCCCCTAAACCCTTTATACACTTGAACATTCTAATTCACTATCTTAATATTGCCATTAAGGAGAAGCAAAATAAGGAAAGAAATCCAAGGAATTCCTTTGTTTAGCAGATTTAGTAAAAGAAAGAAAGTGTAGCATGCTCCCCGATGTGGTTCACAGCAAACTCCAGTTACACTGACACTGCTTATCATCTATAGCTAGACAGGCACCATTTAAACTTACACTTCAATTCCATTAGCTCTATGTCAGATGATGATATAATTAATGAAATGGAAAAAATGAAAAACCTCCCAAAGAATTATCAAATTAAAAATTCCAAAGAAAGGAACATGTCAAGTGTTAAGATTCAAGAACAAACAATTTTCAAAAAAAAAAAAAAGAGATTCAGGAATATACAAATTAAGTCATAATTGATACTACACTCTTAAGTCTTATAAAAGATGTCTTTCTAATGATCCAGTGAATGAAAAGTAACCATAAAAAAGATTACCCTTGAGAAATCTACATTAGAAGATAAATGGTGGATAACTAGCTATGAACATGGAATTGATTCAATACAAACAACAAGAACTATCTCATGTCCTAATAATATACACAAAATGATGAGAACAAGCATCGGATATCATCCATGCATACTTCAAATCCAGAAACTAGCAAAAAGTAAGACAAAGACAAACCTTAAGTGGGTATCCTAGGCAAACAATTAATGATGCAGCAATGTCTTCCCTGCCAGCCACCATGCAGCTGACTCTACAAGGAAACATGCCTTTAAAGTAAGACATCTACAACAAGCATCAATCAAATATTAGCATCTTAAGAATATGAGCGATAACATTTCTAATGGAACATCAAAACCACGATTACAGTCCTTAAATCCTTGAAGCAGAAAAGGGTAAAATACTATTATTATATTCAACCTTGAACCCATTGATTTCCCTGCCAAAATCAGAGGATGCCCAGGATATTTGGAAACTGCATTTTTAACGATATCTGAGTGGAAATCTACCAATTTTTCTGCTTTAGGTGGAGCCTTTCTCTTTCCCCCAGATATATCTGCAATACCCCGACAATCCTCAATTTTTAGATTCCAAACTATCACAGAAATGAAATTGCCAATTTTTTTCTTTAATTTTCCAACTTCAAAATATTTTGACTAAAAAAATTGACTTACAAGGGTAGTCAAATGTCACTACTTCAACGGCATTTAACGCTTTCTTTAACATTTTCGTCCATCTGCATAAATTTAACTCATCTTAATCCAGATTAGCCATAATAAAAAAACCATTTAACTTAATAAGAACGAATTTAAGCATTTTTTTAAGGAAAAGGATGAAAAGAGAAGAGGGACCTGATCATCCAATCAGAAGACGAGGGAGCACCAGCGCCATGAGCGAAGACCACCACAGGGGAAGATTTTTCCAGGGTCAACTTTGAGTCTGCCGGTGATTCTGTGTCATCTGTATGATGGTCTTCGGTCTGAGCTTGTCGCCTTCGCTTTGATGGCCGTGAAGAAGCCATTCCCTGAAATCCTCGCCCCCTTCCTTTTCCCTATTCGAACAAATAAACCCTCTCTGACCTGATATTTTCTTTTGGGCTTCTCGTCAAACAATTCGGAAACCCTAGAAAAACTATTTGAAGTTACCTTGGCGCCAGTTACCAGATATTCCCATGACGTTCACGCCACTTTTCTCACCCCATACTTCCAACTGCCACGCGTCGCGTAAACGTTTCCATCACAACCGATCGCTAAAGCCTTTGGGCTTTTGATGGGGGAGGCCTTTTTATTTGAGTTTTGCTTTTTTCTCAACCAATCCAGGTGAAAACATTTGGGCCGGGGTAACTAGATTACTCGATAGATGGAGCCCTCACATCCCATTAGAACAAAAATTGATTATTCATCATAACATTTTTTTAATGTATAAATATAGAATACAGAAAAAATATATAATGTAACCCCTTGAAACTGATGCGAGTGAAAAGTCATGTAATTGTTTATTCATGTCAATTTGCGATGGCAAGTGTCTATGAATGTAGCAATGGGAAAAAGTAGGTAAGAGCACAAGTTTCACGACTCGAAATATTGTCCAATTTGCAAGATATGCAACTCGTTGTATAGGAGATTAAAAGCAAGGATATGGGAAGTAGGAATCAAGGAATGCCAATGGGGAATTATCTTAGCGTTGACCTTCAAGATATTCATCCAGGGATAAGATATGAGATGCGTAAACCCCTAAATAATATTGCTTGCTTTAATTATTCCTTTTATCTTAAGATAAAAGATAGATAGCCTCGTCAAGGTTCTTAAGGGCCACTTCTCGGGTAATTCTTGAATGGTTTCAAGCTCACATGAACTCTAGACTCGTTCGAAAATATTGATTGGTTATTAGAACTTACATATATAAGTCTAAAAAAAAAAAAGACTTCAAATTCTCTCATGAAATTTGCTTTTAGAAGTGGCAGGCTCATCCTGCGCGTGAGCTTTTCTGATCGTTGACTTTTGAAGTCCTTTGAGAGGTTCCTTGGAAGCAAGAGGATCTGGTTTGATCACAAAATGTCAAGTGCCAAGATATGGAGGGGCCCATCAGATTAAACTCACCAATTGAAGTCCTATAAAAAGGTCTTCTCATGGCCAATGCTCTTCACTGTGAATCAGCCACACCAATCAGAGGAGGGTTGAACCTTACAAGGCATTGTTTGCTCACTCTCCCTCAAAGGCTTCAGGTAATGCCGGACACGACCCCAGCAACGCTTGAAGTCTTTGGGGAGAGTGAACAAAACGTGTCTTGATGATGATACACACACACATATATATGTATTGTATAAAAATTAATGTACAGTCGATGTGCATTTCCAATGGAATTCATTGTTCACTCTCCCTCAAGGGCTTCCGAATTTGCGTTAAAGGGCTTAAACTGAAGCGCTTGGGGAAGAGTGGATAATGCTCACCATTATTAATTTCTGGGTGCATAATTTTTGGCTGGCCATTCCTATATATAGGAGGTAAATCACCAATCCTGTATTTTTCCTTTCTCTGGCTATCATGCACTAGCAGTAAAATCTCAACTAGAAAATTGCAAGTTTTCGAGTACCCAAGGTTCATGTTGCAGCAGGGCAATAATATTCAGTTTTCACTACGAGGGAAGAATACTAGTTGACAACATGATCGATTGATTAATCCGTTGAAAATCCTATTGATTTCTAGTTTCCCGTACGCATGCATGTCTTGTATACAGTTTTCGAATGCTTACAGTTGTTTTTACACAGAATTCACTCAAAAAACCTTTGCTGGGATCTCTCTCTCTCTCTCTATATATATATATATATACACGTACCAGGCTAGCAGCAGACAAAAACTTAATCCTTAAACTGGTAGCTGATCAAGTGTTTTTTATCTTATTTTATGCTTCATATATGCATGTATGTATCTTTATTTATTGTTGTAGTAATATTTTTTTTTAATTAAGGGAGAGAAAATTCGAACTATACTCTTTAAACAAAAAATTATATATTAATTAATAAATCAAATATTCGAGTGTTAGTAATTTACTAATTTTCATTTTGAAAGCATGACAAGGAATAAGGACAAGGGTTGGAGTCCTTTTAGTCTCTCCTAGTTGGAAATTTAATTAGCAGCTAGCCCTTGGAACATATATATAGACTTATATATAAATATTGGTGCAAGTTGGATGCCAGTGCTCGGTAGAGATGATTGTTCATAGCTAGAGGCCAGTGGCAGGTGGGTCATTGCTCCACTAGGTGGTCCAAAATATTCGCAATGAGGTAAAAAAGCTTCCATTTCAAAATCATACAACTATTATTTTTCCTGTTCATTTGTCTTTTGGATGTATTAAAACATTTTGTTCTGTTCTATTGCCAAAGCCCAAAGATGGTTTCTAGTACTCTCTTTGTGTAATTATAGACAAGGAAGGTTAGACAAAGGCTATTCAAAATCAAAACAAAGAAATAGTAGAATGCGGTCTAACACAAGAAGCAGACATTGTTACCAGAAGCTTGAAGTTTGGAACCAGGCTCCCTCAAAGTTATGATTTGTCCCTTGCAAGTTAGTTTGATAACTTGCTTCATCGGGTGCTTGTAACACTATTGTACACCTCCTTACCTAAATTTTATTTCTTTTGATTTTCTTTATGTAGTAATCTTTATGCAGGACCTAGAGCCTATAGCGATCAAATCATACATGGATTGGCACTTATACAAGCAAAGAATATATACATATATATATATATATATACACATGTATAGGTTTTTTGAATAAACAGAAATGATCATGACGGCAAGTTTCTCTGATTATAAGGGTCTAGTCCAGTTTCCATTAACAACATGAAAATGCTCCAGTTAAGGAACGTTCCTCAGTTATTTCCTAAGCAAAGACTCTTAAAGAAAATATGGTCTCAGCTGAGAAGGGACAAATTAACGATGGTGAATGCCACCAAAACATGTTGCATGTGACGATGACCCACAAGTCAGACACTCTCTCAAACTTTGTTGAAAATTCGAACCCTTTCGAGTATGTTTGTCCTGCTGCTTTCATAACCTTAACTATATAAAGTAGTGGGAGGGAGACATATGTGAATTGTTTCAAATCACCTGTCCCATCCTCACCAGCCAACATGAATTAAAGGAGGAATCCATCTTTCATTTGTGTTTGTATGCCTCTCAGTGGGGACAAGAGTTTTTATGGACTTTGGCAACCTGTTGGATCACAATGAATCGGTCCCCCTAGCTAAGCTCTCACGGTCTCTAAGGCCCAAGCATTACCTTATTCTTTGATCATATCACTAATTTTACTTTTGATTGAGTGTGATTGGGTGATTTCGAGTACCTCAATTTCTTCTTTTTCCCTTGCAGTTACGGAGTACATTAAAGAGTCTGCGCTGAGAAAAAGCAAACAAGAATTTGTCTACAGATTCCTATATTTAACTTTTGCCATCCATTAAAAATGCAAAAGAATGAAACAATTGATGATCTACTAAATTTGCTTGATCATTCAAGCAGAAATGTTTATAACATGTTACATGTGGATCATGTGCAATGCCAGACGCCTTAGTTGCTACAAATCTAGGGTCATTTAATGTCAATCAACCACTTCCAAGTACAAGGAAATTCATTTTTACCAGAATCAAAACTGAGTTGAGTGAACTCAGATTAAAAAATAAGAACTCAAATGCAATAAGATCAATCTAGCTTATATTGATTTTAATTTAAAAGCAGCTAGCACTATTTTTATATATATATATATGCTTGCAATATATTATCTCTTAAATCACTAATTGATGAGAGCTAGAGAAATAGCAATCTCCAAGATCTCCTAATAGAAAAGTGGCAAATATAATGGCATCAAAATAGAGATTTCCTGACGCAGATCTCCCGAGAAACCATCAGTCTTAACCCTTCTGTCTAACAGAGACCGCTCAACCTACATGTACAAATGTTCAGCAAACCCATTTCACTTCTCTTCTGCAAACTCCAAGCTTTTTGTATTCTATAGCTAGCGGCACTAAGCAAGCTCTTGATTCTTCTCCACAACTCTTACCCCATTGGCAGATCTAAGCACATTGGCCTGATTTCATTAAACACAACAATAAATAATCCGAGAGAAAAATAAAATGAGACATAGATTAACTTGAGATAATTTATTAGAATAAACAAACTGCAGATGGCATTCAAAACATCACCTGAGCCTCTGTGATTTCAACTGCAAAACCATCAACAATGACCAAAGATAAGGTCTTCTTGTAGCTGCCAGCTTGAAGGGTGCCTGCCAGCAGCTCATCGTGCTTCCTACTCAGGTACAAATCAAGCTCGTACGCCCCTTTCTTAGTTCTATGAGACACACACCCAACAGGGAAAAATAAAAGTAGAAAGAAAGGGGCAGAAGAAGACTTTAAAATGAGAAATAACATCAAGAACAGTCTTGCATTATGAAGTAATGATATAGAGAACTGACCGAGCAGCTCGAAGACGCTGGTATTCAGGATCATAATTCATGAAAACAAAGTATAACTCAGTTTTTGTGCTCCCCATAGGCAGTCTTAGTCCTCTCCCTTAATTTCTTCAAGTTGGGTAGGTCAGTATGCATTTTCATCTCCACTCGGGGTAGGTATTTATACATGAACAGTAGTATAAGTTTATAACTTAAAAGTCAGAACAGACCCACATTTCAAATATAAAACCAAAATTAAGTCTTTTCAAAATAAGTATTAAATAAATAATAGGTATATTTCCAGCTAGCTAGCTCTATCAATTATCATATATGTTTTACTATGTATTTAACATGGAGAAATTTCAGTGTCCTAAGTTACAGAATTACCCCTACATGCCTTAGAATAACATTGTCTTTTTCTCTTGTGTTGATTAATGCCTAAGTATATACTATACCTGTGAAAAAGAAAGAGGTTTCTGGATCAATGAATCCATGTACAATAGCTGAAGTTTCTCTGACCTAGGGTTCCTAACTGTGATTATAAAAAGGTGAACCAACACGGTTATGGCATAAAAGTCAAACAGCCTTAATATTTCTGAACTATAGCTAGGGAGATTTAATGTGTAAAATTAATGTTAAAGGGTGTGAACCTTTTCATTGACCTTAGCAGCTCTTAACTGCCTGTGCAACATTTCCATATATTATGTTATCCTTATGCTGATACCGACAACGAGAAACATTAAACCTATGAACTTAAATTAGTCCCTAATCATTCTTGCAAGCCCGATGAAAACTATCTTAAAGTCAAAGATGCATTTCACTCAACCGAAATTATCCAGTGAAAGGGATTAATCTGCTCATACCTACGTACAGTAATTTGAACTCTTTAAGAATTGAGTATGTACAAGAAAGAGCTCGAGCACTCTAGTTTTTGAGAAGATAATGACACTACAAAAATATAATCATGGAAAGCGAAAAAATAAAATTTCAAAACTGATAACTGTACATAATCAGTTGCAAATCATGTGAGCTGGACGAAGACGGCAATGTCTAATATTCTATCTACCTTGGGGCTTGGAGCAGTAAGCAATTCGATGTAGAAATAATTGCTAATATATGTAAAGGGTGATATACTTTTAATGCACGGCTAATTATGAATCTCTTAACACAGTTTATATCAAGTAAAACTCTATAACAATAGGATATAGTTTAATCAAATTGAAAGAAGTAAAAAAAATCCAAGTGTCGTTTTGATACGTTGAACATTAGCAGATTCCAGTGGAACATGCGGTTTAAGTTTGTATATGACCTTCCACGTGAGGTTGGAACAGGTATATTAATTAGAGAGAATTAAGGACTCAAAACCCAGATTTATGAAGCTGATTTTTGTTTTCTCTTTTGTGGGTCCCAAGTGTGATTCATTGGGGTTAAGCTTGGTTGGTTGTACAGTTTCCAGTGTCACAGCACCAGAGTGACTGCAAGCAGGAAACAGTATTATAACTAAAAGTTAGTGAAGCCCCCATCTTTGCCATTTTGATGCTAAGAAAGACTTCGAATCAGAAAGCTCGAAAATTATTGCGTCCAAAGCTCTGAAACTGTGGGGCACCTTCACTTGGCAGTGACTGATTCTTGAAAAAGTGCCTGAATTCGTAGTTTCAACACTGAAGAAAATCACTGTGCAAATAATGCATATGATTTCCTTGTTTTCTGCTATAAAACTATAGTACTCGTCACTCACATTCTACATATATATATATATATATTAGTTCATGCAACGTAGGTTTACTAACCACATGTAGTTTGTACACTTATATAAAAGCAGCGAGTGGTAGTGAGCTAATACTAGTTTTTATAAGAATTACGTCAGGTTAAAAGTTCAAAGCGAAGCAGATATTCCTCCTTAAAAGCTTTTTCCATTTTAAAATACACAGTCATGACTTGACTCGTCGGCTGATTACTTACTACCATGTACTCCATTTGTAATCTCCTCATCCCTGAGATTACTGTAAATCTATCCAACATTACCAGCAATGGTAATGGTTTAATGGTTCAAATGATAAGTTACAAAAATTAGCCAACAAAAATATCTTCTGCAAGTGGATACCCCCGAGGGACGCAAAAGCCTGTGCACGTGGGAACGTTACGTGATGCGAAGGGTGAACTGCAGCACAACGGAACGCCCACCACCAACCATTATCCTCCACGTGTCAGTTCTTCAGATAATGGAAGACGGGACCGCATTTTTACAAGATTCCCATGAATGACGTGTGAGATTTTAATTGGAAAAACTGGGGAAATAGAGAGGGAGTGATCTGGTCCGTGCGGGAGGACAGGGACAGCTGTCAGTCACATGGTGGTCCTATCTTGCTTGCTTCATGTATGACAGTCTCCTGACTCTATACAAACCCACACGTGGGAACCTTTAACTTTGTTTGACAGTACAGATTCTACACAAAAGTTCGCCCCAATGGCCATGGCCATGTTTGCCACTTCCCACGCTTTCATTCAATCCCCAAATAAATATCTTAATATCGAAAGATAACTTGTTTTTGGCATTATATAAAAATGGAGAACATTAAAGGATTAAAAATAATTATAACGTGTCTATCATGGAACCCTTTTTGCCCTCATAGTCCTACGCTATTAGAAGAGAAAAGCTCCAAGCAGGTAAATCCAAAACCTTCGTCAAATACTAAGGATAAGGTAGTGATTACAGCTGTTTCTCGAAGCTAAAGCTAATACAGTACAAAAGAATTTTCTAAACTGTAAGATTTGACTCCCAAAAACCAACCTTTGTTGTGCAGTGGCCAAGCCCCTGATCCATTACTGAATTGTATACGCAACACTCATCAAATCAACTGAGCATCCCTATTTTTTATTTTGTTTTTTTACAAATACAATAATGTCTTAACAAAGACCAACAGCTTTATTTAGTACTATTCGGAATATCACCAAGATTCAATAGAATTTGCTCTATTGAAGGCCTGGCCTCTGCCAACCTGTTTGTACAAGCCAAAGCAATGTCCAAAACCTTCAAAGCTTGCCTCCGTTCTCTCCCTTGCACATCAAATTCAAAAAATGTACTTTTCCCCAGTTTTATACTTTCCTTTGTTTCAACTATGCACTCTATGAAACCTGGCTCCCTCACTCCTCCTAGCAGGTCGAGTAAAACTAGCCCATAGTTGAATATGTCACTCTTTTGACTCAAATTCTCACAGTAACTAGTTCCTGGTCCTTCTTTATGATCAGAATCTTCCACGCAGTCAGCCAACTGGACGAAGCCATAATCTGATAACCGAGCCGTCAGGTCGATGTTTATCATGATGTTGGAGGATTTAATGTTTCCATGAACGTTCATTTTCATGTTCTTGTCACTTGGGGGGGATTGTGCATGGATGAAAGCGATTGCTCGTGCAGCGTAAACTATTATCATCAGCCGTTCATTCCAATTTAAGGCAGTTTGGCCGCGCCTCCCACCTTGATTAATCAGAAGAACAACTTGTAGATTATAAATTCCACATATAGAAACTAATTGTTAGCTTAAGTATTAAATCAGAGTCCAGATAATTACATATGTTTATATTATACAAAAAAAAAGTTAGGACTTAGAAAATGCAATTTATATCTTCAGAATGAGTGGATGCAACTAAGGTTTATGAAGGAAATGAAAACTCACCTTCAAGCAAGTCAGCTAAGCTTCCCATGGGATAGTAGTCACAAAGAACAAGCTTGAACCTCTTGGTATACAAATAAGCAGTGATTGGGACGAGGTAGTCGCACTTCCTGCAAACCTGAGCCAACCTTTCAACTGTCCTGCCGAACTCACTTTTGCCTACAAGAACCTTGCGAAACCTCTTCAGAGCGCATAATCTACCCTTGGATAACACCAATTTCTCTGTAAATCCCCTATTGTTCGCTCCCATCACACCAACAGATGTCCTCAAAACCTCCTTCAGAGTCAGCGGGAGTCCATGATTTTCACAAGAGATCAACGGTATATCATCCATCAATCCTACTATGCCATCATCATATTCAGAGATGGACCAGGACCTGCTGTGTTCACCATATCCTTTAAAACTCTTTTTGGGTTTTGTAAAGGCCCTTGTGAGCATTTTTTTTTTTCTTATCAAAGATGAAGACAATGGGGTTTCTGAATTGGGGTTTGCGGGAAAAAAAAGTAAAATGGTGGTTCTTGGAAAACAGGTTTTTGGAGGAGGGGGTTGAATCCAGTTTTTGGCTGGTTTGGATTGTTTGACGTGTAGATTTTCATGGAAAACATCGAATCCAGAGTAGTGATACTTTGGTTTGTCGTTTTCTGGGGTTCATGTAATGCAAGTAATGAATCCATGGACATTCTCTTTGATTCTAATTGGCTAGCGCTTTGCTTAGAAACAACCTCAGCTTCCTTTTGTTTTGCACATAGATTGAAGTTAGATACAATGGCAAATGGTCTGATCATTTCATCAGGGCCGTCTGTCTTTTGGATTCTTCTTTATCAATTGGAAGATCATGAGCCTCAGATGAAGTACCATTCTTTTCCATTGGTCATAGCGCGAAGATAATTGGTTGCAAATCCTGAGATGACAGTTGTTTCTTCTTCTTTTTTTTTTCCTTAATCGTTGGCCTGCACATTGAAACCAACATAGCTGGTTTTCGCTTTGAAACTCTACTTCTGATTAGGTATTATACTAAAAATGATTATGTGTACAATTAATTCGAATCTTTTCCCCTTCCTTTGAAAACCTCCATCCACTATAACGATTATCAAGATTTTAGATTCCAAGGTAAAAGTAAGATACCAGTAATATGACTTTAGAACAATGTAAACATTATCTTTCTTTTGCTGGCATGTTAGGGCACTTCTTCTTGCTTTTAACGTTCCATTTGTCCTTTTTCTTTTCTTTCAATTCTAAATCTCTAATACTAGTAATTAATTAGGTCCAAGAACAAGAGATGGCCTGTATCTCAGGATTCCCGCAAAGGCCAGAAAAGTACCTCACAATTTAACAAATACCTAATAGCCCAGGCATTGAGGACATAATCAGGACCATGAACCCTGTCTGGCCCTTAGGCCCAAAAATAAATCCTGGCAAACCCAACCTGCCTTCAGGCTTGCTGGGCCCTGAGGATATCGCTAAATATCAAGATCTCTCTTTCAAAGCTCAAACAGCCAACATTGAATTGGCATTCAGGAGCTCAATTAGCATTTAGCTCAAATTTCACAAGGTGAACAGGAAAGAGGGGAAACGTGAAAGCATTTAATTGCCACCTAAATTTGCATTATTTTGGACTCTAAGCAAGCTGCAAGGATCTTGAGCTTTTAAGTGCAGACGTAGGATGTATATAGATATAAAAATCTATACAAAACATAAAAAAGAAGAAGAAGAAGATAAAACTTTTTTTTTAATCTCTCTCGCCCACAAGTAAAGCCTTTACCGGTTGTTTCTTCTGCGAACTTTAACGCGTTGCTTCTGTCACTATCCTCCACGATCTCATTTTGGAAATCTATTAAATTTCACATTGATACAACAAGATTACAGACTAGTCCCTGCCCTGAACCTAAATTTGCATTTTTACTAGTTATAGAGAAATTGAACTCTAACCAAGTAAAGGGCAAAGTTGCAATCTGCAGAAGCATTCGAACACATAATCAACAGTCAAACCTAGTAGCTTGTTGTTAACGACAACAAAGTTTCAATGTGCATACAAAAAGTCAGATTACGAAGGTTTTCAATAAAGATTGTTGGGCAGCTTTGTCTTCCCTTGCTTCATTCAGCCACGTGTTGGGTTACCCGGTTGCCCGCTTCCGCTATCATCTCCTCTCCGGTCCAAACCCCACTCCTTATATAAAAGCTCTTTTTCTTTAACGTTAACCAAAACCCTTTGATTTTGTTTTTTGCTTTCATCAAAAAGGAGAAAAATATGGCTAGGCTTGCCGTTACGTTCACGGTAATTTTCCTCTTCACCTTCTCATATCACGCCCGCTTTCTCACGGCTGAACCGGAACATGACGTCACCCTCGAACAAACCGAGTCCAAGTTACCGGAATCCGACTCTAAAACCACAAACGCCGTCTTTCTCCCTAGCGAGAAACCCGGGCTCGAATCCGCCGAAGTAGTTGATTTCAAGCCCGATGCCTTGGAAACCGTCTCAGACGTGGACTCGGTTCCGTTGACAGAGATCAGTTTCCGTCCTGTAAACCGTCACTTCCCCAGACGTCCCATGATTCCGTTCCGTCACAAACACAACTGCCGTTTCCACAGACGGTTCAGGCCTTTGAACCGCGGGTTACAGCAGAAGCGCTATATTTCTTACGGCGACGATATGATTTTGTCCGACGAGAGGACTCAATTTGACCCGGAGTCACCGGCGTCGTGTTGTTCGCCAGATCCAGCCGAGATGGGCCAGGTTTTCCGATGAGGCACCGAGTATAAGGAGGATCTAGATTTTATAAAGCCTCATCATCACGACCACGAACACGATCATGATACCATCACCACCACCACCATCACCACCGCCACCATCACCATGGAGAGGAAGACGAGAAGGATGAGAGGAGGAGCACGAGGGCGGCGTTCATGAGGAGGTTTCGCAAGTTTTTTATTCATTTTTGAAGACATCATGCACATCTAATCTATGTTTACTAGTTTGAGGTAGGGACTGTAAATAAGATCGCATCCTTTGGGATGAGGAATATGGTTTTATGTCTTCGTATTTCCTTGTATAATAGTACTACACAGCACTAATTTTACGAGATCATTGAGTTTGCTTTCTTTTTCATCAATTTTTGTTGTTGCAATGGAAAATATTTCACTAAAACGATCGATTACAGAGATCTAGAAAAGTTACAGAAAAAGGAACTGTTTTATCTGAAATCAAAGAATGATGGAAGCTTCAGTTGTTTAAGAGTTGAAACAGAGTAGAAAACTATATATATAAAGAACTGAATCTTCAGAAATGACTGGCGCATGAGCCACTCTGTTGTGGGCTGGTGAGCTCGGCACATGGCCATGGGCTTACCTCGATTGCAGCCCCACTTACATCAGAGCACTTCCACGGAGGAGATCTTGGTCCGGTTGTCCCGTGAAGGTTAACCTTCGAAAGACAGATGCCGGTAAAAGGGGCGTTCTTGAGGCCTTGTATCGAACCTGCTCGCTCGACTTTCACACCCCAGATGTTCTTAAACGTAACGCCCTTGACATATGGGAGAGCATTTGGGTTAAAATTGTTATCAGGGTGGTCGCCAGTGTCACCTGCAATTTTTATACCTGTTCTTACGTTTTCCATGAACACTTCAGACACTGTGATGTTCTTTATAAACCCTCCCCTACCAATGTTTGTCTTCACATTAACACCAATTCCCGTGTTGTAAAGAACTATGTTCTCCGCCAAGACATTCTCCACTCCACCGGAGGTTTCACTTCCCACTGCAATTCCAGAAAATGGGGATGTCCCTGTTACTCGCCGGATGGTGATACGGGAGCTGGGGCGTCCATACGCAATCCCATATTCATCCCATCCACTCTTTACAGCCACGAGATCATCTCCGGTAGAAATGAATGAGTCTTCTATACAGACATTGGAGCTTGAATCTGTTATCAATGAATCATGAGAGCAAACAAAGTTAATGTTCCCTTGAGATTTCTCTACTCCAAATGATCAAAAGAACTTGGGAAAAACTGATCTCCGTCCTAACTCCTAAGGAGGAGCACCAATGAGATCACGCTACCCACGCTTTTACAGCATGGGAACCACTTAACGAGCATAGCCATTTTTCAAGAAGTTTTAGATGGAAACATATGTCTCAATACTTCTAATAGCTTTCTTGATGTATGCTGGGCAGGAAGAATATGACAGACACCAAACTAGATTTCATCCAGATATGAAACCCACATTTAATCAAGGAAGAATAATTACTTTGTTCAGTTTCTTCCCCAGCACTTGTGCAGAGTCAGAGTTTTCAGGGGTTCATCCGAACCAAACAGCATTTACTTGTGTTTGAGATGACAACTTGCACTTCAACATAATGAAGGCTGCCTGATTGCTTGCTTGTGTGTGAAAAATGAAGCAAGCAAAGATAAATCAATGAATAAAATTGCTTTCATTTTACCTGGATCAATTCCATCAGTATTAGGGGAGTCCGGTGGAGCCAAAATGGTAACATATCGAATAACAACATTGCTGTAAAGAAGAAAAAAGTACATTAAACTACGATTCTAAACATGCAATTCTTAAATGGTCATAATAGCAAATCCAGTTAGAAACTTATCGATCCTGGTACAAATTGTGCTATAGGAAACACCTTTGAGCACCCTAAACCTGGGCTCTACCTGCTACCATATTGTCCTTTTGTTGCTAAATGTGACAAGGTGCAAAACTTGGAAATCCCCATTAAGGAAGAGGAAATGAAATGAAAGTGGAAAATAACAAAGTGTTTTAAAGACGATCATGATGCAAGTTGTCTTCAGGTTAGGATTCTTTTAATTTTCAATAGACAAATTTGTGAATTTCTAGCAGATTTGCATAGAAAGGTTCAAAATTGATTTAATTAATGAAGGATCATAAAATTTATAAAACTGATGTGATCAAATTGTAAAGAAGGCCCTCACTCAAATTGTAAAGAAGGCCCTCACAGAATTTAACATTCTGCAGTGACACCAATCTACAGCATGGTCAAATCACACATTCTTCTCTCAATTAATTGCATGGCTTATAAATAATATTAAGAAAGCAACCCTTCAGATGTAAAAATTAATGCAAAAAGTACCTGCAATAAACAGGGTGAATGTTCCAGAAGGGTGAATTTCGAAAAATCACATTTGAAATGATAATGCCTCTGGAATTCACAAATTCAACGAGATTTGGTCTTGTAAACTGGAGAGTTCCCTGCCTCCACATGTTCCACCAGATAGCTCCTTCACCATCGATTGTGCCATTCTCACCTGTTACGGTTGAAAGATATGAATCGTGGATTCAAGTTGAAATTACATAACCATGTCAATAAAACATAGACATCATAGATGTGAGCTCCTCTATTATTGTCCAGCAGAACTTTAAAAGTCTGAATTATGTGCCATTCACCATAGTAAGATAATAATAACATGAAGATCCATGGTATTCAATAATACCATTCTAAGTTGACAGTGTACAATAGGCTTTTCAAGTACATACCATATAGAATATTACTCAAAAAGTAGGTTCATCATATTTAAGTGATCAAAGATGCTTAATGTAGACAAAACAAAGATATCTAAAACATGTATGTTGCAAGCTACCAAAGTAATTAACCACATTGTTATCAAGACCTACCAGTGATCACCACATCTTGTAGTCCATCTCCATGAATAAAGCTCATATATCTTCCTCCAGGGTGCTCCCTTCCCCTTCCATAAGATGGCAAAGGAGCAATTAAAGGCCAGTTCCAAGTGTCCTGATATATCAATCCGGTAAGGAAGTTATAAGAAGCAAACAAATCATATTATGTTAAGGGAGTAGTGGTACAATAACAAAATTTGCTAGATTGGGAGCACTAAAGTTTTTGAAACTCTAAAAATTCAGAGAAATGCCACAACAGGCTTTAAACAGACACTTGGATAAAAATTGTTACAAATATGAAGGCCTTTTGGCATGAAAAAAAATGAAGCTAGAAGCCTAGAATATTTAATCTCTTTGAGAGAATAAAACCTTCATAGCCAAGGGAGTCAATAAGAAATCACATTATGTTATTTCACAAGATACAAGATAAGGGCCAAGGGAATAAAAAACTAGACATAAATTATTATATATGCTTAATTCAATTAACTGACCAAAAGCTTAATTCTTTATTCCTACAAGGCTGGCTACATGCAGTCTCGAACGAATAAAACATTCATGTTATTTTGTTTTTTGTGAGAATCAAATGGTGGTTTAGCAAAAGCCAAGCAGAACCAGCCACAATAACAATCTTATCTCCCATCAACTACGCCACCAGTTAATCATAGCACAATCTGGTCTTCAAAAAATTAAGTTCGATTCCGTCAGCTCAAGAACATTAAGTGGACAATGATCCCAACATTGCAAGATATCTGTTACTACTAATTTTCAGCGTGATATAACTTCAGTAGAAGTACACAATGGCCACATTCAATTGGCATGAAGTAGATAAGGATTTCAAACAACTAACAGGGCACATGCTTCTCTGGTGATCATAAGATAACAGTCAAAAACAGTTAACGACGATGATAACCACTTTATGAACTTCCAACAGTTTTTGATTACTAAGAGGTATTGCAACATCATCCATTCAGATTATTTACTATAATACTAATCAATAAGAACACGGTTTTATTATTTAAATAATAACACTAATACTGTAACAGGACAGCGTATATTAATCTACAGACATAGCACCAAGTTGGACAACAATGCTTGCCAGCTATCTGTCTGTCCAATAGTTGAATGAAAAACCCCATAAATGCCATGCACATGCGACCATACTACGGAGACCCACAATGTTTTTTCTCTTTTCTTTAAAATGCTGCCTGGACCCCATGATTCATAGAGACATCTTCACCTTTAACTTTCTACACCACCACCCTGACGGTGCCAAATCTTGTCACATTAAAATTGACATTTTAACCATATCCTACACAATACAATATTCTTTTGTAAGGCTATATGCAACCAAAATCTAATTTTCAACCCAAAAGGGAAAAAAAAGAAAAAGGAAAAATAGCATTCTTTGAAAAAGAAACACCCATGCAATTATATGATAAATTCTAGATAATTAAAACCCAGATTCCTGCTTTCATTACCATTTCAGAAGATAATGTGGTCATGCTTAGTTCTTTTCAACTCACTTCCATTTCTCTATCACGAATAAAACTCTTTATGTTTGAGTAAAAAACGTTAACTTTTTGCTATGTAAGGATAGGATGGGGATGGCATAAGAATTCTCAGTTCGAGACATAGTGTTTTCGATTGTTAAAGAGAAAGAAAAAATGTGGCTTTTCATTGTATGTACACTTACCAAATTATACTGCCAATGATGATTTACAATTATTACAGGAAAAAAGTATTCAAGAAGTGAGTAAAAAGTGAAAAGATTTGCGTTACCTGAGTGGATTTTATAACAGCACCTCTAGCCAGATAAAGAGTCATATGACTCGTGAGGTTAAAGCTCTCCGTTAAGTACACCCCAGGAGGCACATAAAGCAGCGTGCCACCTCTCCTTCTCAGATGCTGAATTCGATATATGGCTGCCCGGAACGCCTTAGTATTAAGCGTCCGTCCGTCCCCAACCCCGCCAAAGTCCGTTATCGATATCTTATCGTTTCTGTACCTCATCGGTACTATCCCCGAGCAAGTTACCAAGTTCCCATAAGAAACATAAAACAACAATGAGACTTGAAGGAAGAAGTAACAAAGCCAAATTGAACCCAAAGCTCGAAACATTCTGTTTGAAACAAATAGGGGAGTTTATTTGAAGAGTGACAAAGAGAAAGGGAACAAAACAAGCTTTCTATGATGTTGATGAAATCTGGAGTAGATCTGGAGAGTGATACAAGAAGAAAGCTCCAAAGGGGCACTGGTTATTTTAATTTAGAAAGGGAAAGTGAGAACAAAGAATCATCAAAGAACAAAAAGGCAGCGGAGAAATCAAAAGAGAGTGAAGACGGAAGACTGAGGAAACACCCCTTTTGTTTTAAACAAAAGAAAGAGATTGATACAATCGAGAAGTGAGAAAGGGCCAAACGAACAACCGAGAGAGGAGACCTGAGACAGAGATTCTGAGAGAGCGAGGGGACCAAGAGTTTCTTTGTTTTTTTCACGGGTTCTTAGCTGGTGTAATTAACGCACATAAAAAGGGTAGGCGTCAGAAATGCATGGTCCATTTAAAGATGGGAGCGTTTTCTTTGTTTTCTATTTACACTTTCGTTCTTTTTTGCACGCTTCACATCTTTTCCATCGTACTACTATTAGGGCCGTATGGTATGGTGTAATTAAAAGATATTTTTTGGAATTAAAATAACTACAATCACTTAACAATATTTGAATGATAAAAAAAAATAATATACTTACAATTATAATCATATTACAATAAGAGCCATTCCCTTCCCTTACAGAGGGAAAGTAATTTTTTCTCTATAAAAAAAAAGTTATATTTTTTTATTTTTTTAAATTATTTACCTTATTGGACCCTTTTAATCTCTCGACTTTTTTTTTTCCCTTCTTGTCTTCTTCCTTCTTCTCTTTTTTCTTATCTTTTTTTTTCTGTAAGAAGAATGGTCCATTATCAGTACAGTTGGATCAAATTTCACCATCAACTTTAAAAATGAGAGAGATTGAGATTTTGAGTTTCATGAAACTTTAATTTAAAATTTTAAAAATATTTTGAGAAAAAATTATATTTTTGATGTCAAAAATTGAGAAAAGCATTTAAATGATTTAAAATTGATAAAATTTATTAAGAAATTGAGAGGATTTGAGAGGAAAAGATGTTTAATGCAGTTAATTAAGAGAGAAATAATGTGTCAAAAACGTTTAAAATTAAATATTTATCGATACATAAGAACATTTATCTCTAGATTACGTTCAAATTTTCAACAGTCATTATTTATCTATCTATAGACAATATGATATGTTGATAAAATTTGTTATTTGTCGTCAGATTTATCTTTAGATAATATTTTTATTTTATATTTTTATCAATTTAAAGTAAAAATAAATATTTAATAATTTTACATATTTTAATATTTAAATATTTAATATAAATATATTATATAATTTTTTTAATATTGTTATTTATTATTTTAATTACTTAGAGTTAAAACGTCAAATTTTATATTTAAAATTATAAATTATTCAATATATATTTTATATATAAAAGTAATTTTATCAATTTACATTATATTCTTAATAAAATATTTACAAATTAAATATTATAATGTAATTTTTTTAATAATCATATTTTTTATAATTATTTTTTTTATAATATCAAATGTTAAAAAATTATATTTTTAATAATTATACATCTAATAATCACATTCACGATAATTATATTTTCCTCATTAGTATAAGAGAACGAGGGGCAGCTGGCTGAAGCAGTGTATCAGTGGGCCGCAAAATTAATATGGGCGATGGGGCATTTAACTACAACAATGCCACCTCACTCTGGGCTGTGTGTTTTTGTTGTTACGTACTTTTCTTCTATGACCTGTTCTCTACACTTCTCTCTAAGTTATGAAAGCCCTGGCCCCCACACTGACGCTCACAGCTTTACAATAAAAAAAATAAAGAAGCTAACCAAAATAATAAAAGGCTGGGATTGGATTGAACACAATGCTTTTGTGGCAATAGATTTCCCAGATTCTCTTTAGCTAATAAGTAGTTCTTTTTCTCATCAGACTCTCCACTGCCTCAATATCCGTTCCCTTGTAATGGTTGTACATTGTGCCTTTACGTTTGGTTTTTTCTTTGCCTCTTTGATGATGGCTGAAATGGTACACGCTACCATTTTCGCCTTCTAAATGGTTGAAATTTGGAGAAATCCCTTGTTTATTTTGCTTTTGATAACACATCGTATTAACAGTTACTGCAAATTTTCTCTTTCTCCTTTTGACAAGAAGAGAGTAATCGGAGGAGGATAACCCAATTATCATGAAATAAACGCCATACATCATTTACTGGATAACTAAGCGTTCATTGCATTTAATGGGCACCGATAAAATTTGGCAGAACCCACCTGCAACTAATGGCGACTCCCAAAAGCTTGAAACCTTGCATCAAGCAAAATGCCTTAATACCTGTAACTAATAGCAACTCCTCGTGGGAGTTGATAATAATAATAAACTGACTTCGCTCCTCTCCTGCTTATAAAACCTCTTATTAATGAAGCAGGAGAGATTCCAAATCTGGTGCTTGCCAGTTGGGAATTGTTTGAAACACCATAATCGAAAATATTTCTTCGGTCTCTCTTCGAATTATAGTATAAGTAACTTGTTCATCTTACTTGTTAGATGAGTAAATTCACATCATAAAACAAAATACCATGTATCCACCAGATAATGTGGTTTTTCTGCAACTGGAACTTGCAAAACTAAAGATATGAACATAAAATTTCTATCGTGCATGGATATTTACAACCAAATACCAATACAACACCCGATTATTAAACATAGGAAAAACTACAACGAAAATTTTGATTTGTTTCTTCATTTAGGACATCTGTAGGCCGCGGATGAGCTTAATTGTCAGCTACTATCAACACAAGACACCTAACGATCATGGTTCTAGTGAAAATAGAGACGCATAAGTATAAAGAAAGGAAAGTTGTCTGAGCCTGCAGGAAGCCAAACTATCTACTCAGCTTCTAATAACAAGACTATCCCACTTATCGCCCACAACAAGAACCTTGATGCTGTTAACAGGGACACAGATTATTCACATTCTCTCAATGGGTTCCGTCCGGTCCTGAACAGCCAAACGCTCTGAAACATCGGCTAATGACTTGAGGTTGCACTTGATCAGTGCCTCAACAAAGTAGCATGTTTCGTCCTTGGTGTTCCCATCTGGTACATCCACCACAAATGACTCAATCACCAAGGTTCCTGGTCTGCCATCAATAACCTCAGGATGGACTGTAACAATGGATGAGTAGTTCTGCAAATTTGCATAGCATATTGACAATTTTGCAGTTTCAGCCAATTAGATCATCATGAAAGTACAGGACATGCTAAAAAAATCGAAATTTAACCGCTACGAGGGAAGCCAATGCAGAATTGTTACAATAGCATTCACATAAATTCAAATATTAAAAGAAAAGGTGGCAGGATGATATATCTTAGAACTCAAAACTAAACCATCTTCAACAACATGATAAACAACATTGCTTGCCCACATATCTGTATAAACTAAAAATATTCTATTATAACAGATCCATTACATGCAAACAAACCAGGAAATATTGGCAGTTGCAACACAAGGGTGCAGATCAAATGAGCACAAGAAAACATAAATGATGTGGATAGAGGAAAAGGCCACATAAGGCATATAAATAGCCCTAGATAGAGTGCAGTCATAAAGAACATTCAAGCCACTAGCCAAATTCAGCAGACATAGCCTTCACAAGTTAATTTGTAGGGATATTTATCTCCTTCTAATTTCACTGCTCCAGTTTCCAATTTTGTAAAGCTATGCTCCATCCCAAACATGAAAAACCTTCTAACAGACTTAATATATTTGACTATTTAAAACAATGATTTTGATGATTCTGCTCAAACCAACAGAGTCTTGTCCCAATGAGTGGTAACAAAAACTGGCGTATTCAGTCCTCCAACTTGCAAGTGACGGCCATATACAAAACCTCATTACATTTTCAGGTAATTTATGCATTAGCCAACACATAATCTAACAGAAAAAAAATCATATAATAAAGGACAAACAACAATCACTTTAAGGTGAGTACTTATATTTCAGTCAGGATTATATGTTGACAAACTAAATATTTATTGGAACCCAACTGACAAAAAGTTAGGTGCATGGATGCGGAATTCATTCAACCAAGTAAAAAATTGATACCTTCAACCTGTGATCTCCACCAACAATTGTCATGCTCAAAATATGCTCATCATCATCTAGATACTCCAACCTTTCAGTGCTAGTTGTGGCTGGCAGTCCTGACTTAACATTGACTTCTCTAACACTTCCAATCTGAAGGTCACCCTGCACAACACACCTGCTAACAAATGGTTTGTACTTCTGTGGTTGATCGAATCTCCTCACCAAAGACCAAACCTAATTGATCAGAAACCAATGATCATTCCTTAAGGCAAAAAACACTGTTAAGTTTGCCTTCAGTCAAAGCAAACTAAAACCTAAAACACTTACTCTGACAGTAATTTTATTTAAAACTACAAAATGTATTAGATTGGGTATCACGTGATATCAAATTAATCTCATTCAAAGGGGAGTTTATTGGCATTTGATGTTGGGACCTAAGAAACCCTAGCTATCCTTTCCAACACTTGAGCTAAATGCAAGTTCAAAGAAAATAGTGTGCTCATTTCTATTCAAACAAAGCAAATACAATCATGCAAGAAAACAACAATTTTACAGAGAAATTTCGACTAATCAATCCTCAATCAAAGGTTGTCAATGTTTCACATTGCACCTCTTAAAATCACCATGCTACAAATAGCTGAAGGTCATGTTCGATGGCCTAGTGTTGATTGCCAATAACTTAAATTAATTCACAGAATGTTTGACATCACACAACATTTCATACGAGCCAATAATCTAGCTTAAATTTTCAGTTATAACTTCACAATTGATATATCACCACTTTGATTTTGATCTCCTCATATATTCATTCTATATGCAATAAAAAATAAGTAAAAAAAAAAATTCAACACTAGAAAGTCATCGGAAAATCAAGCTAACCTACATAAAAAAATTAAAATAGGCGTCTAAAAAGATGTAACAATGAAAAAAACAAAAACCCTCCCAGATCCATATACGGATCTAGCACCAAATACGACCCCAATTGATTCGACTAAAAAAAAAGTAGATATTTATTGAAATTTCAAAAAGAAATAACAACTTACGAGATGAATGGGAGCTTTGATGTGTTTAACGAGCGAAGAGGTACACTGATTTTCTTTAACGTCGTGTTTGTGGTGCCTCTTGATGAACTCTTCTTCCATCTTACTAAACCCGTTCCCGTTCATGGTGATATAATCATTGGTCACCATCGAAGTAACCCTGGGAAAAACCTTAGCCCGGGAAGAGAGGGGTGAAAACCGATCAAAAAACCAGCGGAGGAGCTAGTGGATCCGGGGGCTATTATCGGGAGTCCTAGAAAGGTCCGAAACGAAACGCCATCGGCCAGGTCCAATAGCGAAAGGTCCAGACTGCTTCTTTCTCATCTCATCGCCTGGAATTATTATTAATTATTAATTAAAAATAATCAGGAAAAAAAGAAAAATAAATAAAGAAATTTGGGTATTATTGTTTATTCGTACTTTCCATGGTTGTTAGTGACAGGAATTTTGGTTTTGCCCGAGCCTACGTTTTGATGGGTCCAAGGATTTTGGACGGACGTTTTGAAAGTCAAAACGGCTGCGCACTAAAGGATTCTGCTTGGGCTGAATTATTTAACGGGCCAATCTCATTCAGGCCCAAAATTTCCCGCCAAATGGTTTACTCGTTAGCCCTAATTCCCGTTTCTTTCCCGCCATCTTGCTCTCATCCGGTCCCTCTCTCTGCTCCGAAACTCTGCTCTCCAACAAAAACTAGGGTTTCCATTGATAGAAAGAAAGAATTTGAAGCAAAGATGACGAAAGACGAAGTTGAGAACGGAAGAGATGACATGTTGATTGATGGACCTGAGCAAGCAAACGCCGTTCCTGATGGATTCAACGCCAACTATCTTAGAATCTACTATGGTAAGAATTCTCTTTTTTCTCATTTTGAGAATTTCTTTTTGTAAAAAGAAATCAATTGTTTGAATCATGGAGTTCTTCTTTTATTCTGGCGGGTATAATTGAAATTTGAGATTAATTTTGTGGCAGGAAAGTTATTTCCTCATGCTGATATCTTCAAGTGGATGTCGTACGGAAATGGTAATCCAAATCCCTTCTTTCTTTTCGTGTATTTACATGCAGCACGCTCGCGTATTTCTATGTCTTCGTGTTTGGATACGTAAAGATGTTATAATCGTCATTGCTTTATCTGCAGATGGCAAGCATCCTGCTTGTGACAAGTCCTACATTGGAAGAAGGGAATTTTCTTTCACGCTTGAAAATGACATTTATATTCGATTCCAGTCTTTCAACAGTGCTTCTGAACTGGAAAATTCCATCAAAGAAAAGTGTCCATTCAAGATTGATATTGGGCCTGTCTACAGTGTTGATGTAAGATTTCATACAATTTTCTTCTTTTGTAGTCTTTGAATCTAAAGTTCTATGTTTTGCTATTAGTTATTAATGTATTGTCTGTCATACAGCCTGCTAAGAGGCATGCCTATGCACAAAGTGGCGACAATGTTTTCACTCCAGTTGAAAGGGAACTGGTTTTTGATATTGTAAGCTACTGTACTTATTGAATACTGAGCAGCTTAGTCTACTTTTCATACTGAGTACATGAATATGATGGCTAATGTTATTTGACTTGCTGGAGTTACATTTTTTCTTGCCCCAGGACATAACAGATTATGACGATGTTAGATATTGCTGCACAGGAGCTGATGTTTGCTTGGTATGCTGGCCTCTAATGACAATTGCAATTAAAGTGATTGATACTGCACTCAGAGGTAAAATAATCTACGTTGGTTTTTTATTATTAGTAATCACATATTTTGTTCTTGACTAGTGCATCATTGCTTTGTTAATGTTGCTTAACATACTATAGATTGTGTAGATTCCAGACTGTTGTAATTGGAAATTTGAGTCCTTAGCTGCCCTATTTAACATGCTTGCATTGCAATTTAGGCACATATTTTTTTGTGCACATGACATGTATGATGTCTTCTTCTTATGTCATTAATAAACTTCTTATAATGCAGATGACTTTGGCTTTAATCACATTCTCTGGGTATATAGTGGCCGACGTGGTGTGCATTGCTGGGTTTGTGATGGAAAAGCCAGAAGGTGATGCAGTGAACAGTTGAAATCGTCGCATAATTTCTGTTATTTCCTTACCTCTATCATTGCATGAAGATCTGAATGTTACTTTCGTCACCTCTGCAGGTTGACTAATGAACAGAGGGCTGCCATTGCTGACTATTTCCATTTATACAAGGTGTTTAACTAGTGCACTGAAATACTTCTGGATTTTGCTTAGTATTTTAGATCCAATCATTGACTTTTTAATTTGCTCAGGGCAATGAAAATAGTAACAAAAAGATATCTTTGCCAGGTCCTGTTCTTCACCCTTTCCTGGCGTAAGTAATACTGCCTATTGTTTATAATTTCCTTATTCTGGATGTTCCGTTTTTTATACTAAGATGCATTCTGACTTGCAGGAGATCCTATACTGAAGTTCTGAAGGGCTTTTTTGAGGCAAAACTGCTTTCGAACCAAAATTTACTTTCATCTGAGGAGAGATATGAGAAGATCCTAGAAATGATTCCTGATGGTTGTAAAATTTATAGACTCTCTGATGGATAGCTCTGTCATTTACCTTAGCAGTTCCTCATGTATGTACATATTATTTTTGCAGCTGTTGCTGCTGAGCTTAGGGGGAGGTGGCAGGAGAATAAGCGATCTTCCGTGTTAAAAAATGACATTAATGCTGTTAGATGGGAGCAACTAAAACATACCCTTCAATCAGGAAAACAAAAGGTATGAATTGGCTTAAGCACCATATTAGGGGTTAAATGCATCATGGGCAGTGGATAGGCTACTCTGTTTGAAACGGTGCCATATAAATTGAGCAGTTAATGCACTTTGTTTTTCATTTGAAAAGAATTTGTTTTTAGATTAATTACTCTAATCGTGATAATAAAATATACTGGGTTGAATCAGTTTGCTGTGTCTAAATAGTACTATTTCCGTCATAAATTGATTAGGGCCACAAAACAGATCTTAGAATTTTAAGACTTAGATGGATATTAAAGCTCCATAAAACAGAATATAGAGTGAGAGTTCCATGACAACTTAAAGTGCTTACAGTGAAGGTAGTGAGTCCACTACTGCTAGCTTGACTTGCTATCAGTTTTACATGTGTTAGAAACTGGATTTTCAAGCCCTCAATACTTTCATTTTATTCTCCATTATCAAAGTGCAGTCTGAGAAAATCAGTGATAAGGAATGAGTTGAGATCCAGTTATTAGTCTTTGCTCTCAATTTTTCTTGTTTCTTGTATAACTTCTTACTCATTAGACACCTTAGCAAGTAGAAGTTCAGGCATTCATCAAATATATGTTTGACCCAGATGTCTTCTGTTTTACATAGAGGAGATTTTTTTCTCATGTACATTGTACTTTACTATTCATCCTTTTAATTATTTTGCATGTTTCACCTTTTTCAGGCACAAGGACTCCGAAGATGTGTTGAAGAGATTGTCTTTTCTTTCACATACCCTAGGCTTGATATGGAGGTCTACAACACTTACCCCTTTCGGTTTTGTTTTGTTTTGTTGTTATGTTCATTTTTTTTTCTTGTGCAACGAATATATTAATGATTTTAGAAGTACTTCTGCCTCCAGGTCATACAACAATACATATAAATTGTTTTTATGAAAGCAAGAAGTTTTATCAAAATATCTATGCATAACCCTTCAAACGCAACTACTGTTTGTGAATCAGGTTTCGAAGCACATGAACCATTTACTGAAGGCACCATTCTGTGTACATCCAAAAACAGGTTAGTTTGGGAAGAGATCTGTTTTAGATAGTAGTTGCCAGGAATGTGAAGATTGACCAGAAATCATTGGTGTGGTGCCTAAAAGTGATGTGAATTCTGTTTTAAGAATCAAGGGCTGTGTTTATGCTATGAAACCTTGAATATCAGCTGTTATTGGACTTTTTTGCATTTTTTTTTTATAATTTAATTGCCTTTTGGATCTTGACATACATACATACACTTTAATACAACATGAGAGGGACTATCCTCCTGTTCTAATTCTCCAGAGATGTAGGAGAGAAGAAAGTTCATTCTATCACCCCGAAGCATGAACCTTAGTAGTCTCAAATCTTCTACTTTTTATTTTTCCTCCAGGTCGTGTTTGTGTTCCAATTGACCCAAACAATTGTGATGAATTTGATCCAACTAAAGTGCCAACCCTATCTCAGGTATGTACTTTCTTATTTATCAGTGAGATTGCTTGTCAAGATGTCCAATTCCAATTTTAATAGCTTGTGAGAACTTGAACGAAGAAAAATCATTATATTGTATTGCAACGTTGTATATTATAAATTCTAGGTAGCTTTTCTTGTTGCGTGCTCTGTGTTGCAAGAGCTGTTGCCTCTTAGGAGAAAGGTTTGCCTATAATTCTTATTTGATTTTATTTACCTTGCAGCTTTTGGAAGAACTAAACAGGGGAGGACTAAGACAAGGTGCTGAGAATGGTATGTTTATTTGAACGATGTTTTGAATTGTTATGAGGTCTGTTGCCTAGACTTTTAGTTAGTCACTTGCAAATAATAGAAGATTATTTGGATCTTGAGGGAAGAATTGAGAACACCAGGAAAGTTTAATAGGGTCACAAACTTACATGATTTATCAATTTTGTATTACGAAATGCTGCTGTAGGATATAATCTCTATTGCACATGAACTTGGCCTATTAATGTATTATGCCACCTGCAATTGGTTTTTCTATGTTTCTGATATTATTGTCTTTGGTTGATAGCAGAATGGGATAGAACCTCGCTTGGAGAGTCAGTCACGTTTTTCAGATCATCGTTTTTACATCCTCTGCTAAAATCTTGCAAGGAGGAGATAGAAAGTTCTTACAATACAAAGCTGCAGCAAGCCAAGAACGCCCTCAGCTGGTAGTGTTTTCTAAATGATTATCATCAGGAGAATCTTTTTATTCTTGAAAATTATATCATCGGGAGGATCTGGTTGTCCCTTTATTGTGACGCACAATATTGTTGTTGATGAGTAAGATTTTCTTGTCCTTGTCCTTGTCCTAGATGTGAAGTTATAAGTTTAGTAACTATCCCAGCTAAGGACTGCAACTTAACCACCCATGTTAATATAATTATATTCCAATTATTTTATCTTTTCTGAAGAATATACAAACGTCCATGTTGTTGCTTGCATGTTTTATTATCGTTCCATCCTCTTTAATTTATTGATCAGAGGCCCTTAAGATTGAGGTGCAGAAGTGGTTTGATGTGTTCTGCTAATTGAACTCTTCTACTGTCTAATAAAGGATTAGTATGAGGGGTAAGTGAGAGCCTGAAACCTGATATCTGATCAACATGCTAATCCGTACACAGCCGTTGTGCAGTCGTACTCAATAGTTGATACAACTGGGCATGATCTGTCTAGGCATCTTTCAATCTTAGAACATGTAGATAGAGGTTATGAGGACCACAAGCTTTCTCCCATGGCGGATAAACTGCGAGATGTGGCTTGTTTTCCCTTACCCTATAGAGCGTGATCTCAAACCCTATAGAGAGTGATCTCAAATCTGATTAACTGGCCTTGTTTATAGCATTGCAAGGCACAATGGGACAGGTATTGCTTTGCCCATGACTCTATAATGAAAATAACAGTAGGGGAAGGTATCTCCTTTGTGGACACGAACATGATAAGAAAAAGGAAATTAAGTATTTAAATATTTCATTCAATCACTCAGATACAGTGATCACCACGTCAAGGTCCCACATACTTAATAACACCTTTGTCAACTGCAGTAGTGTTCCAACTACCATAAAGGAAAAGGGAACATTGTTAACTCCTAACGCCTTTGATACAAAAAGAAGGCCAAACTGATAAGAGCTATGAAGAAAAACAATAAAAACCTGAACCAGACAACATTAAACAACCGGAACTCATTGCTAAGAACCAAGCCCCCAATAAAACTACCATTTACAGCTAAAGATAGGAGAAATCTCCCTTCTGAGAATTTTCATTTTGGAGAAAAATGGGTGAGAACGTTATCCTAATTAGCAAGAATCTCCCATATCAATTCAGCATCAAAAGATGGCATTCTTGCAAGCGAACAGTCCTCAAATCCTGGTTCCTCTGCCATCATCATTGGGTAATCGTTCGAAACAGAGGATGGTGAATTCTCACATCTCCAAAATCCATCTTCGGACACAGTTGGTGACAGTAACTCGTTGCTTAAATTGTCACTGAAAACCGCACGGGATAACGATGAAGACGATGAACATGATTCTGTTACCTTCACTTCTTTTTCAGCTTTGGAAGCAGCTGCAGGACGATCTGAGTTGCTCTTCTTTTTAGCGTTGGCTCTCTCTCTTTTCACCTTTTGACAAATGGCTTGAATCTTAGCATCCACCGTATTCTTCAGAGCATTCAATCTAGCAGAATCTCTGAAACCCAACTTACTTGGGTCCTTCAGATTGGGGAAATTCAACCTTGCGTATTCCCCTCTAAGCTTATACGCGGCGCGATCATAGGCATAGGCTGCAGCTTCAGCTGTTTCGTAAGTGCCTAACCAGACTCGCGTTCTGTTTTGTGGAAGTCTGATTTCGGCTACCCATTTGCCCCAGTGTCTCTGCCTCACGCCCCTGTATAGCTTCTTCTTCTGAAGACTAGTGTAGTTGCTTGATGATGCAGGGTTTTGGTAGCTTTGAAGCTGATTCGTCAGCGAATTGCGCGGAATCGGTGCTTTTCCTTTGCTTTCTTGGCAGAATTTTGAAAGGAGATCTCTCTGGCGGAGATAGACTGAAGAGCCTAACGGCTTATAAACAGAGTTGGTGGTCATGGCTGTTGATGTTGTTGTTGATTGTGAGCAATGGGAGAAGATTGAATCTAAGGCATTTGAGCCTCCTGATAATATGATCTGTGAAAGCGAAGACCCGATGTCGGCACCATTGTTGAATCCAAAAGGAAGATTGTTGTCTTGCATTTTTTTTTCCCTTGATTCCTTGAGTTCTAACAAAAACAGAGGAAAACAGAGTGCTGGGGTAAAAATTGAGAAGGAAGCAGGGCGCTTAAAACTGTCCCTTTTCCTCGTAGAACACAATAAAAAAGAAGGCAAAAAGAAAGTGAAACTAATGATAAAAGCAGAGGGACCTGAAAAACTAGAACAGAAAGGTTGCAAAAGAGATTCCAAAAGAGGTATGATTCTCGGTGTGAAACAGAGATAAAGTAAATGAATATTTTAACGAACAAGAATTAGTGGCTTGAACTCGAATCTGAAGGCAAAGCAAGTGAGAACCCCAGATTTTAGGAGGGGAGGATTACAGGAAAAGAAATCAGATATTTCTTTTAGGGGTTGGGTTCCCAAAGGAAGAGACTAGAGCTACTATGCTGAGACCTGAGTCTGGTTCCAGCTTGGTGTATTTATAGCTGCACATTAAAGCTAAAGCTTGCCATATTTCTTCAGGATTTTTTTCAGCTTGGAAGTTTGAATCCCAGTCCAAGTTACTGGGATTAATACCTGTGGAATGACTGCCATGCCCTCCTCTCTCTCGGGCATTCATTGCCTGCCCCTTTCACGGGTTACGGGAAGTGGAGATTGTCCCATTTTCTGTTCTCCAAAATACTTTATGAGTTAAATAAATAAATATTTAAATAAAATTATATAATTAATTTCTTTATTTTGTGAAAATAATAAATTTAAATTTTTATAAAAATTTATAAAAATTCAATTCATGTGTTTTTTAAAATTAACAATAACACTGATGTTAAATTATATTGGTATGATTTTGTTTGTTAATATGACATTAAATTTAATAATATGATAATGAGAATATCATAATTTAAATGTAATGATAGTGTTTAATTGACGTAATCAAGCATTCATCTAAATTTTATAAGTGATAATTTACTTTATTTAAATAATTTTTTTTGTAAAATTTATAACTGTCAAATAAAAATAATATTTAAAAAATTTAGATAATAAATACTAGCTTGTTGAGATGAATCAACAAAATCAAATATAAATAAAAAATTTTTTAACACTTTAATTATTGAAATGACAGTATCAATTTAATATCATTCTAACACTTTGATCATTTTCCCTCTTGAGTCAAAACTTGTTTATTTGGTTTATAAACTTTGAAAAACAAAAATCTGTAAAAGGATGTTTATCTAGATGGTTTGAATGAATCCCAAGTTCCCATTCGCCGACATAACGATCAGCAAAAACGTTTGAACCTTAACGATGGAGAAGGGCCGAAAGGGTGTAAACCGTGATTTCACACCTTGCAAAGGCAACCCCGATTGACTGTGAAATCCAATTGCTCAAGTGAATTCCTGTTTCATGTTTTGACTTTCCCTGTGGTCCCCCCACTCACGTTGTCCGTACTCCCATTACTGCTAAAAGGCTACTTTTTCGATTTATTACGAAGCACTGTCAGCTTGTCTTCTTAACATTTTCATAACTTCTCTGCCACGCGTCTTATGAGTTATGACCCAACCCGGCGAACCACCTTTCTTTTTTTTTTTTCTCCCTTATTTTTCTTTTTTGGGTGCTGTTTTTATAAAAAAAAAAAAGAAAAAACTTCTGTGTTCATCTCCATCCGTTTCTTTTTCTGCTGAAAAATCCAAAATGAAATTAAAGCCGTAACTCAGAAAGTCCAATCCCTGGATCAGATTACTGGCTCAAGCTTTTTCTTACAACCCTTTCTTTTGTTCTTTTCCTTGTCCTGTCACTTGGTTCCATTTAATGAATTTTCAATGGTACCATTTACGCAGGGAAATGTGCAAAACCTTCCTTTTTCCAATGTTACTAAGATACAAAAGTTTTATTTGAGATCCTTTCCAAGATAAAAGTCCTGATTAAGTACAGTCTATTTCAATTATGAGCCGAATTCAGATGATGTCGTCTTACCACCAATTCTACTGTTAAATATCAATATTTTAAGCCTGAACATAAAAGTTAGGCATCAGGATAAATGGGTAGTTAAGTTTATCCAGTTTACCATACTTGGAAACAAATTTCGAAATGGCACGAGTTCAATGTCAAAAGAGTCTTCAGAACTTTCATACTTTTTTTCTGGCAAGAACTGTTTGTCTGCCACAATTCTAGCACATGGCTTGCCCTGTTCCAATGAATTATTACCAGCAATTGCTTATCAGTCCAACAGTTCATGCATTTGCACATTCCAAGCGAACCATTTTTGGATTATTATTGCCATTAAAAGCAATAGAAAACTTGGCGTTCGATGATTTGCCCCCGCTTCCAATCATATCTTAATGTTAATCAAATACAAGACAGACCCAATTTATTGAAGCCAAATTTTCCCTTACACAGAAAGAGATAGAGAGGGGAAGATAAGGAAGGGGTAGAAACACTACTCAAGTTAAACAAAAAACATTGATTGAAATTAGGTTGGACCCTTTTCCTCTTGAAATCAGAAAGGTTGCCATCTGCATCAGGGTGGGTTCCAGTCTTGGTATGGAGCATTAAAGACGTAAAGGTTCGGTTGACAAGGTTTTAGATGTAGGCTTTTTGGAGCTCGTGAAAGACACCCCACCTGCCCGAGTGTTCATGAAGGAAAAAGTTCTGTGTGTTTGCATGTGAAAGAAACCTAACCATCGCCTCTCAAGTCAATTATCTTCAAATTAGTTGATTTTAGAATTTACTCATTTGGGGCTCCTTTTCCACATTTGCCCTCACTCGGTTTCACAAAGAAAATGGGATGTACCTAGTTATAGTATAAAGATTACTATAAAAGAAGTTAATCACATACCTTCACATTTCATAAGTACTATTTTTTTCATGCAAGTAATTCAAATATTCAAAATTTATATAGTATCTTGCAAGGTAATATTATAATATTTGAAACTCATTTTCAAAATAATTCATCACTTTTTTTAAAGAAGGGTATTAAAGTAATTTTAGAACTGAATTTTCTATGTACTTGTAAATTGTCGGTCAAATTTGCAGCTACAACGACAGTTGAATGTAATTTAGTGGGAAATGAAAGGGCAAACGAGGAAGGGGGCCTTGAAAAGTTAAGTTTTGGCAGTATGCGGACTTGGTCTCAGTTTCACAGAAAGACGACGCCGACTGATGCCGGTGGTCCAGTCTCCTCAACGTGACACGTCAAGTCCTGTGGTTTCTTCTCGACCAACACGTGTCTGTTTCTCATTCGGTCACCGGCCCGGGGAGAAATTGCAGCGATTTCAAATTCCCGTGAGTTTCATTTCATTTCATTACATTACATTACCGTTCAGAGTTTCTTTGGCACTCAAATGCGGCTGAATACGACGTCGCTTACTCCAGCCAAAAAAGGTACTCTTACGTCATTTCCCGTAACGGTTGATGTCACGATGACAAAAGCTTTTCTTTTTCAATGTTTTCAATAAATTTTAATATTTTTTTCCGGTATTTTCAAAAATGCACTACCAGTATCCTTGCTGCTGGAGAGAAAAATATATTATCTCCTTTTGTTGAGTTGTCAAAAATAGTGGAGCAAAAGGAAAACCTTTTAATGGGAACGGTATGGGAATGATGTTACTATAAAATTAACAAACGATTGATTGGAATTTCATGTTTTTATTATCAAAACCAAGGGAAATTAATTCATTCTCCCATCGCAATGTAGACATAGAGTAATGCTACAAAGAATTAGATGTTATGGGGTGAGTCATGGTAGAGTAGGTGTTAAGGGACACAGGCCTAACGGAAAGGGGGTCCGTTGGCCTTTATTAGGGCAGGATAGGAAAGAGGTTACCTTACATACCAGACGCATTGAGTTTCACATTCAAGACGTGTGAAATGCTATAATACATTTCCAAATATAACATTCTTTCACCTGTAATCAATAATAGATTTGTCTTAAAGCTGAATGATATTATATGCACACCTTTCAAGACTGTGATTATATGTATTATTTTTTGTACAATTAATGAAAAACCAATAATTTCATACATATATATATATGAGAATAAATGAATTAATTATATATTATCCAAAAAATTTTAAATGTATGTCCACGTTCTTTGATTGTTAATGGTTTTTGGTGTTAACATCACTGTCTCAGGCCAGCTTATCACTTGATCATATCATTTCAATGTTCAACGTCACAAAAGAAAGACAGTTTGATCAACCTCTGGTAATGTAGAATGCATTCCAAGCCATATGACCCCAAGAAAACACCCTAACTTACAGGGAAAAGGAGAAGCTGTGGTTGAACCGTTCAAGCATATCCACTTTTGGAATAATGTTATTTGATCATGAAACCATTGATGTTGATTGTACGTAAAAGTTCAAAACTAGCTACACTCTTTGTTTTGTGGACACTGATGGGACGGTATGGAGATTTCTGACCCCTGATATAATTATAATCTATATTTCAATCTTATTGCTTCTATAAATCTTTCAATGATACCCATTCTTCTTAGTCACTATTCAACAGTATGAAATGTGGCATTTCGTAATTTCAGAATACAACTCGACAGATATTGGATGAGCTTTCAGAACTCGTGCAGTAGAATTTTACAGCATTTGTTGAATATATTTCTCACCTAGGTAGGAGCTATCGTGCAAGTCAGTTCACACATGAAGCTTTTGAAGCGTAGAGTCGATAAAGATGAATAAATGTGAACCATCAGCCAGTGTGTGCAGGCAAAAATATGCAGTGCCAGGCTTTTGCAAAACATGGGCACCGCCATTTTGACGGAAGGAATGGTCTATACTAGCTATAACGAAGAGGAGAGGATTTGGCTTCTCTAGAACGATGAGACGTGTGTTTTCCATCAACTGCGCTAAATTATTGAGTGATATAACAGAGAAAGCAATTCTCCCAACAGGAAAAATTGTCATCATCTTGGCTTAAGTATATTTGGTCCCCCGTTATCGTAATCTTCCTTGTTAGTTTCTTTGGCATGGCATGCAATTTGGCCCTACCATTATGACACTGCCTGTTATCAATGCATTGAGACCACGAAAATATATACATATATATATATATATAGACAATCATACGTAAAATTATATAGTACATACATTTAAAAATTCAAATTAAAAGGCGTGACAAAAGAGGGGAATAAAAATTCAAAGTAACTTATTAATTAATATTCTCATTGTACAATCTTATTATGCTCCACTAAACCATGCATTGACTAAAGAAAATATGGATAATATTAGTAATTTGGGTTATGCCTATCAATAAGTTATGATCAATTAAAAGTCAATTTCTAGAATGCTAAAAAAAAAATAGCACAATTATATCATCCAATTAAAAGGGTTGACTTCATTGTGTGTTACATTTAGCATTTCCGAATTAAGCAGCTTTGCATCTACACCACACAGTTTTTGTGGGCTTGGATGGGCTGCAAATTGGACTCAATCTGTGTAGCTTAGAGATCCTTTTGTTTTATACCAACTGCTAACCCTTTTAGTAATTGCCGCTATAATGCTATGTGCAGTGTTAACCACAAAAATTTTACGATTATTGATTTTTTGAGTTTATAAAATTTTTGTCACCCAACCTGACTACTCCGTAGCTTAGCTACTTAGATGAAACAGGGTCCAACGTAGCGTTAAGAGAGTAGAAACACACTAGATCCAGGTGCGACCTTTTGTCTAATCAGTGTCATCTCTTGTTTACTTCAGTGAGCTGTTTTGGTCTGGTCTGAACTTTTCTTTTATTAGTATTAGTCCTATTATATGGACGAAGTTGGACTAGGTCGGTTTGACAAATTTGACGTCAAAGACCAAAGCATCAATCATCGACGAGCTCCTTAATTATTTAACTGACTGATTTTGAAATGAAAGTGCTTATCCAATGCTGAAACAGTTTTAGACTTTAATTCGCTACTTGGCATGATCAAAGGATGAACCCTGGGATTAGGGGTACGTTGACTTTTATCCATGTGGGGGACGTGCACCGCCAAAGCCAAGGTGGGGCTCAACGTTTTAACTGTGGAGTCCATTTACTTAGGTAGGGCTCTGAAGGCTAACTTTGTCAAACAATTAGGCTGTAATGTTCCCATTTCAAGTAGACTTATGCCATCTTTCTCTTACGTTTTCCTTCCTGTCAAATATCATGTTTAATTTCTTGAGTGAAAATCATGGGCAGAGTGGAACATATACGGGCCAATGTCGGACGAAAATCATGTAGAGTACTTTACGGAACATTTTTGTCTGATAAGTCTTTGTTTTGGTGGGGTTTCCACATGGACCAGGTTGGCAGAAAGCTACCGGGCTTGGATTGGGCCCGAAGCGATAAAGTTAATGGGGAACTGTACTGACATGGGCTAAACAGGGGTTGACTATACCAGACCAAGTCAGATACCTCAAGCAAAGATGCCCTATTAGACTCCATTAAGGGTCTGCTTCCAAGGCCTTCAGTTGGCCTGTTGAACAACGGGAAGTCGAATTTTGTTTTTTAAGAATGAAAGTTAAAGAAGTTTAATTACCTTGTAAAATTTTGGGTCCAGGTTGAACTGCCAGGCCCATTTCTATTTTTCTCCAACCAGCCAAGGTTGACAGAAGGTTCAACTTATTTTTTGAGAAAGCAATGGATCAGGCAGCACATGATTTGATTCTATGCCATCGAATGAGGCTAAGCATATTCCACACTTGGACCTCTCATCATCAAGCAAGTTGCTTTATTCCACGTACCACAACTCAAGTTGATTAACTGATCATTGCTTTTGCCTTCCACTCTCTCCTGAACAAGAAAAGGCTTCATTTATTTCATCTTCCTTTGATAAAATTAGTTTTGTGACATAGATTTATGACTTTGACTTGGAATCAAGTTCAAGTTCATCCATTCACTAAAAAAAAAAAAAAATTGATTTCAAAACCTCCGTACAAATAATCTAAATATTTAAATATTATAAATAAAAAAATTAACTAACAACTTGATTTCCAGGGAGAATTTTGTAGTTGGTGGCATATCTGAAGGCTTTTCTTCAAGTTAACGATGGAAAATGACTTCCCCAGACTAGCTATTAGCAACTAACGTTGCTTCACAACCTCAAAAAGAAAATCGACGATTGCAAGTCATAATCAGAGCCAACCATCCAGCCCATTTCCTGGGAACTGTGTCCCACTTAAACAGCAAAACCACGCCGTTTTAGTTCTCCGATCCAAGTCTCTCCCCCTCTCCCCCTGCTAAACCCTTATTCAAGCTTTTTATTCTATCAATGTCTAGGCTTTTAGCTTTGACGAGAAATAAAGTGTGTGAAGTTTGGAAGTGATGAACATAAGCGAGAAAGCCGTTCGGAATAGGCATCCAAAGAAGGTCTCATTTTTAAGGTTAGAATCATAGAACTCCTCGCTCTTTTGTTCTTGTTTATGTAGTATTTAGTTTTTTTATTTAACTCAATTCTATGATAAATAGGTTCTTTTTGTAGCACAAAAAAGTGGGTTTTTCTTAAAATATGGAAACAAATTATGTTCTTTTGATGGGCCTCTTTCTGCTGTTAGTTGCCGTTGATTGCTCTAGTTCTGATCCAAAGGTGAGTTTTTAGTGGAGGAAGTTGGTTAAATTGTTTAATTCTATTCATGGGATCAAGACGGTTTCTCATTGACTTTTATTTTTAGGGAAATGTGAATGAAAAGACTGGTTTAGATCAGAATGTAGGTGACATAGTGGATCCAGTTAATGGAAAAAATGTTCTCAAATCTGCTTCGGATTCCATTGAAGTTAATAAAGTTAATGTCAAAGCAAATGAAAGAGATCAAATTGATAAATCAGGTATTGAGAGTGGTACAAGTAAGAGCAATTTGAACCAGCAATCAGGGTCAAATGAAGGTGAGAATTTGCAAAAGGATGGACAAGAGTCAAGTGCTGAAGCAAAGGCAACAACTGATGGTGAGAAAGAAGGTGATAATGTGCATGAGGGTCAGGGAGAATCAAACGTTGAAGCCAAAGGAAAGATGGATGGTGAAAATGAAGGTGATAATGTGCATGATAAGGGTCAGGAAGAATCAAATGTTGAAGCCAAAGGAAAGATGGATGGTGAAAAAGGAGGTGGTAATGTGCATAAGGATCGGGAAGAATCAAAGGTTGAAGCAAAAGGAAAGATGGATGGTGAGACAGAAGGTGATAATGTGCATAAGGATCAAGAAAAATCAAATGTTGAAGCCAAAGGACAGGCAGATGGCGAGAAAAAGAAAAATCTGGGTGATAGTGTGGATCCCAAGGAAGTGACTGTAAAGAAAGACAATGCACAAGAATCAGTCCCGCCACCGCCGCCAACAAGGACAGATGGCTTTCGGGGTGAAGAATGTGACCCATCTAATATGTGTATGGATAAGAATGAAAGGTTTGCTGCATGTTTGCGAGTCCCTGGAAATGGTAAGTGTCCTCTAACTGGGATTGCTTTTAACCATTTTGTCTCCTTTTTTCCTGGTAATGTGTTATTATAGGTATTTTCCTTGTTTCTTTAGTTGTGTCATTCTCTGCTGTAGACATTTATAGAAGGTTGCAAGTTTCTAGCAATGGAAAAGAGTATGAATAGTTACTATCGATGATGATGATGTTAGACCAAATTTATTTCTCTCTATTCCTTCTCAATTATATTGCATTGCAAAATTTGACCTTCTAACTTTGGTTTGCAATATTCCAGAATCTCCAGATCTATCACTTCTGATTCAGAACAAGGGAAAGGAGCCTCTTACCATTAAAATATCTGCTCCTGCTTTTGTTCAGTTAGAGGAAACAGATGTTGAACTCCAAGAGAAACAAGACAAAAAGGTATTTTGTAAACAACATTACAAGTTACATGCAAGCATCATGTTAGGATCACAAATTGTGGCTGATTAGAGGCCTGTTTTTTTTTCCTGGTCTAACGTAATAGTATGAATTAAGTCTTGTTAACACTCAGTATGCAATCAACTCTAGTGGCCATCTAGCACAAGTACACCCAAAAAGAAATTTAGTGGGCAAAAAAATAATAAATTTTCATTGCAATCATCTTAGCACATTTTGTTATTTAAAAAATTTTTTTGTTATATTTTCCTTTTGGAGATGAATGCTGCAAGTACCCTTTGGTACAGTCCCTCTTTTGCTGTTGGCCTTTTGAAAAGCTGTAAAAAAGTCTTCGGGCTTCAGCCAAGGGCCTTCAGCCTTGCATGAACTGGCACTCTACTTGCAGTAACTAATACATAACATGAATTGAGTAATATTGTTTGTATAGTCCTCTTTTACTGCATTAATGATCACAAACAGCCAATATTTGTGATGGCCAATACAAATACATTAGCTAAAGGGGCTAAAGGTATATAAATTGCTAAATTTGTAGATAACTATAACATGGCCACTATGCCTTGGCTGGAATGAATATTGATACACATTCTCAACTTTGTTTTTGTTTTTTCTTTTTCATTGATGAATTAAGAAGCATTCAGCATATATTGTCTATGTTTCATCTATTGAAATGATTGGTAATTTTCAATTACATATGTATCATAATAATTAGGCAGTCCATATGGTGCAACTGTGGGCGTTTCTAGCTCTGCTAATGATGCTATTAATGTATTCAGAGAAGGTTGTTTCTGCAAAAAGTTGGTTCTGATTGATATTTAAATTGTACAGGTAAAGGTCTCCATAAAAGATTCTGGAACAGGGAACTTGATTGTCTTAAAGGATGGTAGAGGAGAGTGCAGTCTTGATTTCAAGGATTTGATTGTGCATAATTCTGCCGAGTCCTATGTAAACTTCTTGTCACAAACCCCTACAACTACGTTTATATTTGTCGCTGCTATACTGATACTAGCATCAGGTTGGATGTGCATGAGCTTTAAGCGGAGGCAACTTGCAAGAAGTGGCTTGAAATACCAGAGGCTAGACATGGAGCTGCCTGTATCTGCTGGGGCAAAAACAGAGCGAGATGTCAATGATGGATGGGATAACAGCTGGGGTAATAATTGGGATGACGAGGAGGCCCCTATGACACCCTTAATGCCTGTCACTCCTAGCCTCTCCTCCAAAGGGCTTGCGTCACGACGGCTGAGTAAGGAGGGGTGGAAAGACTAGTGCTAGTTTGATCGACACATGCAATCAAAAATGGGAAAAAGAATACATTAACATAACTTTATTTTTAGCTCGTTACTTTTCCCGATTTTTAGAGGTCTTTTTGTTTCTGTTTGTCACTGAAAGGGAAATAGAAAACCTAAGGGAAATTGACATGATGGAGGCTTTCATGTGGTTTTGTACAGAAGTCAGAATGCGTTACTGGCATTGTTCCTTGTAAGGTAATGCCAAAGTTTTTTAGTAGGTTGAGCCGCACAATGGAATTCCTGAGCCAACAAACATGCTCGTGAAGTGCAGGTGTATTCCATCAACCTAGATTGGTTGGATGTGTGCGTATGCGTGCGTCCCTGTGCAATAATGTGCCACTATGCATGCCTACATGGGATTCGGTGGCATGTAGCTGAGTTGGACTGTTTATGGGTTGGTATGTTGCCTTCCTGTTCTTGAACTTAAAACAAGTAGATGAGGCCTCATTTAAAGCTGGGCTTGTCTGAATAATTGTCCAACCAAACTCCAATGAACGGATCAGATTGTGGGTCCAAACATAAAAAATCAAAACATTCCCACCACCGAAATAATTAATTGGACTTTTCAGCAAACTCTCCCACAGGAGGCCCGTGGGTTTGTCTCGATACTTTCGGGTCCTCGCGCAGCCCATAAAGGGAAGAACAAAAAGGTGAGAAGAGTTTTGTTGGGTTGGGTCTCATCCTTCAAGGAGCAAAGTCTATCAATTGGCAATTTGCACTTGTTTATTGGTTCTGCAATCTGCATTATCCCACAAGGCGAAGGCCCGAGGGAACTTTGACCATTTTCTGCGTATGGCCTTTTTGATGGAAAAAACCGAAAAAAGGCAATTTCCATCCATGGTCGTGTATATCTGCACTACATCTGATACTGTTTTGGATTTTGCAATTTATTTGTACTATTTTCATATAGCAATACGGTACCAATCTTGATAAAGGACTACTGGGTAAAAACCAAACTCCAGTAAAAGGCGAAGAAATACTTGGTTTCGCAGCTTCCTGCTCACCACTCCTCGCCAGTCACAACTTTTCTTCTCAATTTGTTCGTCAAAAAAGTGGGAAAGAAACCACAGACAAGCATTGAAAATGACAAATCCAAATATTTCCATTTTGCCATTTATTTCATTAGCATCCCTCTGCAATCCGCATGTTACATTTGTCGACGCCACAACTTACAGAAAATTGAAACACTCCAAAAAGAGAGAAAAAGAAGACATATCCAACAGAATCACACCAGTGATTTACTATTTGTAAATTTATACTAAGTAAATCTGAATTATTTTAGTACCCCCATCTCTGTACCAACAAAAAAAAAATCCCTGCTGTCAGTATAGTTTGATGTATACAGGACGAAGCATGTATCCATTAATCACGTTTCCTTGAACTCTTCCATTCCTCAGTATTGTCTTTTCTCCAAAACCTACTCTCATAAATTTAATATTTACTTCAAATTTCAATTAAAAAATGATATTATTTTTTTATTATTTATTTTTTTAATTTTTAATAAATTTTCAATAAATTATATAATAACATTCTATTTCGCTGGTGAATTTAAAACTTCACACGTATAGCAGATGAGATGATTTTCAATTGAAAAATATTTAAGGTTTATACATGCAATATATTCAAGACAAACCGGTTGTTACAATTTACAAACATGTGAGACGTAGCATCACATGGTGCCGCGTGTTGACATCTGATTCGCCCACGTTGATGAAGCACGTGCAGAGGCTCGGCCTTTTTCATGCAAGGGATTGTCTTCGTAGGAGAGCAGCACGTGGTTGGGCCCCGCTAGGTAAATTTGTCAGACTACACGTGCACTCACATGACGAGATTTAATGCTCCCTAATAGAGGAACACGTGTCGCCATAATCCCCGGATTCATAGGGTCACACTATCAACGCTGATTGCGATAAGAAACGGGGCTATTTATAGAAACAACAGCCCAACCGGATCAACGTGGGTTGCGACGGCTCTGACGGCTCAGATCTTTGGTACATCACATGCTTATCGTATAATCGAGTTCATTTGTCTACTTTTTAAATTTTATCTCTGCTGATGTTACAACGCCGACTAATTTTGACTTCCCAGAGGTCCATGACAGGTAACAAAACGATATTATCAATAATTAAATTATGAAAAAAAAATGTTAAAATGTCTAGCAATACGTTGCATAATAACTCATTAAAATATAAATATTCATAAAATTATTATACGTATACTATTAGTAAGTCGAACAATAAAAAACCGAAGTCAAATGAAACAACATACTCATTTTTCTCAATAAATAATATGCTCATTATAAATGTTATACATAATTCCTTTCTCATCACATCAATTTTAAGGTAAAATTAGCGCATAAGCATGTTATGAGGATTTGTTTTACTTAGAAATTTCCACGTTACCATAAATAAATGAAGGATAGATGGTAGTAATTGTTGTTAAAATTTACTCAATCTTTTTAGGTATAAAAGAATGATCGCTATTAATTTATTAAGAATATATAATATATAAATATAATTTTAATCAATATATTGATAAAAGTTGGAATTAAATAAAATCACTGTGCATTGACATAAATTCATTAATTGCATATTCATAGGAATAGAGTCCCATAATTGAATTACATTTCCATTGCACATCAACTTAGAACCTACTTCATTCAAATGCCATCGAACTTGAACTGGAGTCATTCATTATTTTCCAACAATTGATCATTGCACGTGGAAATGGAGAAAAATTAATTCCATTATCATTCGTGTACATGATGGGATTCCATCTGAATACACGTGAAATTATAAAGTCATAAAATAAAAAAAAAGAAAAGTAAAAATAAATCGCCAACGCATTTAAATAGTTTTTTTGCTTAATTAGCGGCGGAGACTGGAGCCTACTTAAAAACTTAAGCGACTCTATGCATTATTTGGAGCCTATTTATAATGGATTACTTGTTTTTTTTTTTTGGTCAATACATATGAAATAAATTTTAAGAGAAAAAGAGGGTTCGACTATTAGAAAAAAAAAAAAGAATTACAGTGGTAAAAGCTTGTTCCATTTCTCACTGCACCAGGAAAAACTGTTGGGAAAGGAGGAAAGAACTCTGCAGGGAACTGCATGTAGCAGTTACTTTGGCAAATGGCGCATAGAAACAGGAAAAGATAGGGGGCCAGGAGATCTATTGCAGTTAGTGGGGACGTTAGGGAGCTGAGATTCCGGTGTCGGCTTTAAAATTTGAGTTTCAATCTATAAACTATCTTTTTCTGAATAATTTATGGAAAGAAGATCAGAGTAGCATTGCAGCATATCCCATATTTTTTTGTCCTTTACTCCCCAATGCCGCGCTCAAAATCCACCATAAAAGAGTGCAAGAGAAACTTTTTGGAGATTGTGCTTCTTTTTTTTTTTTTTTTCGCGCTATCGTGGGGCTCCAGAGTATGGAGTGCTTGAGTCTAGTGGGGATATTATCTTTATCTGAGTAAATTTCGAACTTTAATTTTATGGCTTAGGCTTAAGCAACAATTGACTCTTTATGGTTAAATGAGTTTTGGTTGTCATACCTCAATTAGTTATTATATGTAAATGTTTAATTTACTGCAGCCATGTGAGAAAATGCTCGCTCATTGCAGCCTCTGTATTTAAAGGAAGATGGATTCATTGCAAGCGACACATGAAAAATCATGCTTACTTCCAACCCATATATACAATAGTTAAACTTAAATATATTCAATTCATTAAAAAAAAAAAACTGATAAGTATGAAAACGCCAGGAACTGTAGACCAGTAATAGTGTCGTCAAGCAGAGGGAAGAGAAAACTTTCTGGCCGAGGAGCAACAGGACCACCTTGAGAGGCAATTTGTCTCCTTCGCCGGCTCAATTCCCACCTCTCTTTCAACTCCAAAAAAAAAAAAAGAAAACAAAAATCCCTTATGTCTCTGCGCCTTTTTCACTTAATAAATATATTACAAAGTGGAATCTCTGGACCTAACCCAGTGCATGCGTATTTGATGAGAGATAAAATCAATAATCATCTCACGAGGTCATTGTTTCATGGAAAGATTTTCATGCATGTCGGGAATTTGGTCCATACTGATGGCATATAATAACCAAATGTGAGCGTGGCATAAAGCAATTTTGACCAAAGACAAAAGGAATTAACAAATTCCATTGCCTTTTAACTAGGTTTCATCACACATGGAAGATTTAACTTTTAAAAGTGATTTATCTGCGTTGGATTAATCAATCATGATCATGTTAAGTTAAGGGAATCGTTTTCACTAGAAAGCCTTAAATCATTGGTTAAATGGTAAGATTAGTTTTTGACTATGATTTGAAGGCAAACAGAAAAAGTGGTATACAGTAATTCCAGCTAGATTTCTACATGCATTGATCGTGACTTTTGGCTTGTAGATTTTTATGGAATGACATTGAAAGTTGTTAGATTTATTCTTATTTTCGGGCTAATGATATTTGTTTTATGATCTATCTATATGTTGTGGGCCTGTAGAAAATTTCCACTGTCTGACTGTGCTGCAAAGCACTAGGTTTAAAAGAGCAGCATAATGTCTAATAAGCGTAGATTGGGTCAGGGAAGGACCTCATCGTTGATGGTTGATCGTTGCCTTTCAATTCATTTCGTGCCATTTTATTTTTGCGTTTAATTCCCATAAAAAAAATGCATTACCAAAATATTCAGCAAAACTTGGACGATTAGGATTGATGAGACAAAGATTGCAAGCATTAAAGCAGCAAGTAACAAGAGGGTGGTGGCACTAATTAGATGAGCTATAAAATCTTGGCAAGATTTACGTTCCAGTGTTGCGTCCAAGAGAATCAATTATATTATATGAAAGGGATATATTTAAAAGTTTGAACCACTTTGGCTATAGCACTAATCAAGCTCCCACTTTGACCCCAAAATGATCAAATTTCTAGCAGAACAAACAAAATTGGTGGCAAACACTTGAGTATTAGTGGAGTCATAAAGAATGGATAAACAAGAGCAAAAAAGACCCTTGCCTCACCTACTCCAAATAATGGTTACAAGCTGGTACGGATTTGAAAAGTAAGAAAATTATTTAAGAGCACATATTACCAATTTGGGGTGGGAAAAATGGTGTGCGGACCGCACCAGTATTCTCCGTGACTGGCTCACTCCAGGTGGCCCTGCATGGACCTGACGTGAATCTGCCTTGATTTGCGCTTTCCAGCAAGAACACCAAAGAACTGTGAGAAAT